GCGATTTTAGTCCTGAGCCTCATTACAGTGTGACATGTTATCATCCTCATCTTCTTCCTCTTCTTCCTCTACATATTTGAAAAAAAAAAAAAACTTTATTTATGTTTCAGATGGGCACCAGGTAGATAGAATTTTTATTGTCCCACAAAAAAGTACATAAGCTTTAGTCTTCGAAATTTTAAATGCTTTGAGTAGGACAAACCTCATTTCTTTTTGACAATAGCTGGAAAGTAAATGAATGAATGAATGAATGAATGATGAGTGACAAAATAAGCATAGAACTATATCTGGATGAGATTATTTGCGATTTTCGCACATCAAATTGACTGGTGGTATAGGCTAGAAGCTTATTACGTTATTAAAGGAATTATGTTGCCAATAAAACCACATTCCTGGACTACAAACATCTATAATTTGTTTTTAACTTGTAAATGAATATATAAAACCACAGCAAGAGTTAACAGGCTCTAAAATTTGTGCCCCGCACAGGAGGGCATGCCCCACGCTCTCTAGGGCCTATTCTAGATGTGGTCGTGCAAGGGAGTGGGCAAGGAGGAACCTTCCAGAGGGCAAAGTCAGGGGCCACAGAGGACAACAGGCAGGGGATTCCTCTCAAATGGTTTAAACCATTTGGAAACTCTGAGATGGGCTATCCTCCGAAGGTACTAGGGCAGGGAATTTTTGCATTCCTCTCCTCCCCCCACCAGCAAAATCAGATCGTTTGTATGGTCCAGTGACTACTGTGTGTTTCCTTTGCTTTCCTTTTCCAAGGCAGTTTTCATTAAAGTTATCTTGCATATTTCTCACTACTGTGTACTTAACAGGTTGTGGGTAGGAAGGACAGATAACGTCTCTTTAGTTTATAGGTTATCAGATCATAGAGATTCAAATATGAATACACTAAGGATAGCCAAAGATTTTTGAAATGTGAGCTAGATGCAGTAAATGACCAGGTCTCAGATTCTCTCCCCTTTGGCAGGGGTGTGTTTCCTGTGTGCGATGGACAGGAATGGAAATTTGCATGACCCAAGGGATGGACAGTTGCACACTGCTAGCTGTCTCCCCAATATCCATTCTTTGCTTCTACATTAATTGAAATTTCAAGTTGCCCATGGTTGCTCAGCTAATGACATTTCTTCACTTTCCCTGTACCTATTCTGTCCAAGTGATGACCTAGTCATAGTTAGTAAGTAGAAACAACACATGCGACTCCAAGTGCCTTAAGAGAAAGGAATTGTTCTCTGTTCTTTTCTTCCCCTCCTGGTGTCTTCAACAGATATACTGATAGGACCTGGGGCAGTACCCTAGTGGGTAATATGTACCGTAATTGGCTCTTCACATACATTGCTTCATTTACCCTGTAAGGAAAGTATTATTATTTTATTTTATGCCTGAGAAAATGGATTGACACAGCCAGCCAGGGGCAGACTTAACATCCCGAGGTATATTTTTCACTGGAACACTGGACAGAGTAATCAGGCATAACTCCATTTTTAGAGTGCGTTAGAAATAATTGGTTTAGAATTCTAGAAGCTGATGCCTACAGCACCTAAAATTCCTTAAGAACATTTTTTAATCACCGAAATTGAAATGTAAAATTTGTACTTCATTCATTCATTCACAGAATAAGCATTTGTTGCAACACTAAATAGCACATTTTGGTATTATTTGGCTTGAAATTATAATTTTCTCTGTTTTTTAATCGCTTTGTAGAACCATAGTCTTAAGTAAAAACTACATAGGAAAAAAAAAGTACCATGCATTTACTCTAGGGACTTAAGAGGTGGTTCCTGCCCACAATTGTCAAGGCAATGTAATAATTTCATCTCATTCTTCAAACTTCCAGTCAATCTTTCTTTTCCCAGTATACCTTATTATAGCCAGAAAATTGATATATAACATAATGGCTTTCAAATTTTTTTTATCCTTCCTTGGTACATTGTCATGAAAACTTCAAGAGGACTTAGTGAATGGAATAATTATAGAGATTTCAAAACACTATCTTTCCCATATTTCCAATTTATTGTTTATTTCTGAAAGATTGAAATTTCCTCAATGTATACTAGACCTTTCCAATTTTTTTGAACAGGATCTAGATCCATTTACAATCCATTGTCTTTTTGGTTTTTTTACACACACAGTACGAAAAATTGAGACTCACCGTGGGGAGTCCCTCAAGACACCAATTGATGGATAACACGTGCTTTCCCTGGACTCTTATTCTTTACATTTTCAGTATCACAGATTTGATTTTTCCTTTCCCCCTACAAAGTGGCTTGCTATTCCTCACAGAGGCCCTCATGCATCAATTGCCATGGTAAAACCCTCACATCCTATCACCTCATCTGAATAGCTCAGATACAAGAAGAAAGATCTACCTTCGTCTTCATCCTCCATTTGGGCTTTGGCCTCTCTTGAATACATGGCCCTTCGGAGAGTTTTCCTCTCTAAAGTTGTCTGGTCAGCTTCCATGTCCTACAATAGACATAATGCTGTCATGCAAGGAGCTCATGGCCACAAGAAGGTTTTGACTTACCCATGAATGACCCACAGGTACAAATGGTCAGTTACCTTTACCAGTAACAAGGGCTCTCTGCTCACTCTGGAGATCCACAATGCTTGTCTCAAGAGCAGCTGTGGGGGCAATGACTCAGATCTGTAGGAAGTATCATGGCACTCAGAGGCATAGGACAAGATGAGGACAGGAAAAGCAGTGACAACAAGATGGAGCTGAGCCCGGAAGCAGAAAGATAGATTCTTGAACCCTAACACATAGTTCCACCTGCTACTTGTTTTATTTTTTACACCACTTACAGACATTCCCTGTAATTTTTCTAACTAAGGATTCATTCATGTCAATAAATCTTAAAAATGTACACAGTTCTAGGTTGGTTAAACTGCTGTCTTCCATTCACTATGATGAATTATTAAATCAGAATGAGTTTCGTTAGCATCTCATGGATGGAGGTGCACAAAAGAAAGGGACTTCAATAGGATCTGAAGGAATGTAGATACTTTTAGCCACAAGGGGACTTAGGTGCCTAACAGTTGAGAAGAAATATGCAGAAAGAGAAGTGAAAGGTGCCCAGAAACAAACTTTGCAAATTTTTAGGGGTTGCTGAAGACTTGTCCTGTGCCCAAGAAAGGGAGAAGCATTTTGTTTTCTCCATGCCCTGGCTTCCAACACCCCAGTTCCCCCAACCTCAGGACTAGAGTAGTAATATCAGTTCGATTACACTGCAGGTTAAATCATGCTCTGCAGATAAGTCTGGAAAATTAACCACCATCCTATTTCTGTGGGGTAACACATTCTGAGTTTCAAACAACTGACCCACAAACATTTTGAATCTACAGTAAATTGAGGTTTCTTGTATATTCCAATACAAAGAAAAAAAATCCACACAGTTTGATGGTTACATCAATAAACCAATAAACAAACCAATAAATTTCTGGTGGTCAGTGCCTAGGTAGTGACCTTGGTTTTTCTCTTTTTGGACCTCATACAACATGTATGATTTAGGAAACTTGCTATTCTAGAAGGCTTTATTACTTCCAGATTCTTGATTAAAAAGAGCGAAAACAAAAATGTCTCCTGAATATCGTTTTTACAGAGGCAATTTGACATCAGCCCTTAATTTTGCCTAAAGATATGAAAACCAACATTTGTAAATGAGGCTAAATAAAACACAAAATTAAAAAGCGTCCCTATGGTTTGTGTATCCTATAGAGGAACAAAATAAACCTGCGAACTGAAAATAGATTTAGCTTTGATTCAATTCCCCATGCTGTGTAAGCATAAGATTTAATATCTCGGAGACTTACAAGATAAACAAACAAAAAACAATCTTTAAAGCAATTTTTCTTTTTTTTTTTTTTCTTTTTCTTTTTTGAGACAGAGTCTCACTTTGTTGCCCAGGCTAGAGTGAGTGCCGTGGCGTCAGCCTAGCTCACAGCAACCTCAATCTCCTGGGCTCAAGCAATCCTGCTGCCTCAGCCTCCCGAGTAGCTGGGACTACAGGCATGCACCACCATGCCCGGCTAATTTTTTTCTATATATATTAGTTGGCCAATTAATTTCTTTCTACTTATAGTAGATACAGGGTCTCGCTCTTGCTTAGGCTGGTTTCGAACTCCTGAGCTCAAACAATCCACCCGCCTCGGCCTCCCAGAGAGCTAGGATTACAGGCGTGAGCCACCGCGCCCAGCCTAAAGCAATTTTTCTTAAGCATAAATGCTCATATTAAGCTCACTATAGGTTAAATATTTTAAATTGTGTTGGTGTTTGGATTAAGTAGGTACAAATGCAGTTTCATTTATCCAACAAATATTCACTGAGCCAGACCAACATGAATACAGGGGCAGGGGAGTGGACAGTGTCAAATGATATTAGTGTATTTTGCTTATAACAATATGAAGATAATGATCGATGCCACCCAAACTAGAATTTTTAATGATATTTAAGTCAGCTAAAAATGTCATCTCCTTCTCTGTAACTTTCCTTATTAACATTTTATCATATTCTTTCCCATCGTCTACCCCTTGATGCTTAAACTGCCGATCCTTTCTACAGCCCTGCACTAGGAGGTTTCGTCGTGTGTCCTCTGGTTTCACCTTCCTTCTCCACGTGCTTGATCTGCTCTGGCTCTGGGCCAGGCTTTCTCCACCTTGGCACTACTGACATTTCAACTGAACAACGTGTCGTGGGGTCTGCCCCGAGCACTGCAGGAGGCTGAGTAGCATCCCAGTCTTCTACCCACTCGATGCTAATATAGTATCTCATCCCCCTGCCCCAGTTGTGACAACGAAAAATGTCTCCAGATGTTGCCAAATGTCCTCTAGGGGGCAAAATTGGCCCTGGCTGGTAGGTAAACACCCCGTCCTGTCATATAACAGACTAAACAGAGAGCTTGTTTGCACGGAAACTTCTCCAAAGTATTCTAGTGGTCTTATTCTCTGCAGTGTGATTCCCTCTGGCTCCAGATGAATTCAGGTGCCTGTCCTTTGCAACGTGGCAGTAATCTATCTCTTCCATCCCCAGATGAGGTTTCTGGGCAGGTGGTTGATTCATTCTGGCTTCTACTGGCCACCATTCCACCTCACAACTGGGTTTCCCTGTCCAGAACCTAACATGCTCTGTATCTCCCTCGGTTGATATATAACCCTGTAATGTGTCTTTAATTATGGAGCTATGCTATCTCAAGTGATCACTTCATTTCTAAATACAACTTAATGGACTGTCTTCCTGGCTTGCTTAGCAGTATTACTATAATATCCAGCCAACAGCTCTCATTTTTTTCCAGATCTCCTTTCCAAAGTAAACCATAAATTGTCCCACTGCTTAAGCTTACGTCATATTCTTTTGTCCCTGGCATTCAGATCACTGAAAAAAATGTCATTTGGAGCTATCCCCAGTGCGTTTATAATCAAGCTTCCCACAGCACAATTCTTAAGTGGGCACTTGTTGACTATACCTTGTAATGTTTTTTTGTTTGTTTGTTTGCCAAATATCCTCGTTTCAATGGTTCTGTGATTTGTCCTACTCTACTCCTAGATTTTTACATGTATCTTTTCTTCCTTATGTGTTTTGCTTTTGAGATCCTCAGCAAATCCACAACAGATAGAGAAGTCGCAGGATTTGCCTGACTTTTTCATCTTCCTTTCACTATGGAAACAGAACACTTTTTCCCTTCTAAAATAATATATTTTAATTTCCTGATAGTTTTTAGAAATTTGATGATATAAATATTTTATTTTATAATGCTCATTCCTGGCCAGGAATACCAAATTCTGGACACTTCCCACTTCCAAGTCAAGAGCAGAACATTTAAAAAATTTGTGAATTTAATTTATAATTTCACCTTTCAACTACAAATTGTTCCTCTTTCGTTGTACTCAGTCTGGTTTCCAACTCTGTTATCACCTCATTCAATGTGATACTTACATCACCCATAGCATTATATTGGAATCACATTGGATATGCACCTGGGTTTAAATCCCACGGGTGTCACTTATCATATATACTGTACAACTTTAAGCAAGTCAGTTAACCTCTCTTAGCCTCATTTTTTTTCATCTGTAAAAGTAAGATAATATTTTCTTTGCTTATTTCTCAAGAGTGTTGGGAGAACTAAAATAGATCATGTAAAAAAAAAAAAGGTTTGTGGACCAGAAAAAAATATGCAAATGTAAAATTTTATTTTTGTTTCCTTCTGATCATCTATCTTGACCTCCCAACCATATCCCAGACACGCCTTGCAACTTTGCCCACCGCTCACAGTTCCTCCCTCCTTTCAAAGTCATTTTGTCTTTTGACTTGCCCATGACCCTCTGTTTGTAGGTGGTGAGTGAAAATACTCTCATATTACAGATGAGAAAAATAAGATACAAATAAGGCAAAGTAAGACAAAATAAAGAAATGTCATGCTTCAGTAGGTAGTCTGTCTAGGTTTGAAACATGCATATAATGGCAATATGATTCAAATTCAAATAAAAATCCTCTAATAACCTGACAGCACTTCATGTAAAAGATAAAAGATAGCAGTGGAATTTTATAGGTTCAAAGTAACCTGTTCATTAATAATTTATAAAGATATAATTACTCCGGAGTCCAAAAGAGGACTATTATGTTATCAAGCATTAAACTGTAATACTTCTTTAAAAGCACTCTTAGTAATTACACAGTTCATTTTTGAGCCGGACTCTGAACTCCTTTGAACCATAAGCAATTACCTTTTCTAATTCTTGATCTTGCCGATTCATAAGTGTTTTCCAGTGTTCATAAAGCTCAACATCTTTGGTTTGAATGTCCTTCAAAGTCCCTTCTCTTAGTACACTTCCATCTTTCATAGCTATAATCTAAGGAAAGCAGATATTAGTAGAAATGTGACAAAAAGCCTTAATTGGCCAAATGAATTACCTTTATTTCAGAAAGAATTTCTTATTATTTTTTCTTTTTGTACTGTGTAGAGAAAGAATTTCTTAATGTCTCTATACATATGACTATCATATAAAAATGAACAAAACTCTCTTCTAAACTCTTACCCAGTCAGCATGTGTCAGATACTGTAATTTGTGAGTCACAAGAACGAGTGTCCTTTTGTCATCTTGGAGAAATTTCAAAATCCCTTCCTGCATTAAGTGATCACTCAAGTGAATGTCCAGGGCAGAGAATGGATCATCCTGCAATCAGTAAAATGAAGGAAAGATTAGCACTTTCTGTACCCTTTCTGTAACTCAATTCCTTTAGAAAGTAGAGACACAAATAACTAAGGGAAAATTATCCCCCAAATCCAATTTATAAAAAAAAGACTGTATAATTATTTAAAAAGTAAATAACAATATTCAGAGTTGTTTGAATTCTTATAAAATATTCAAGTTCAAAAATCAACATTAATCCCAAAACAAAGAATGAAAAGATAACTGGAGGCCGGGCCAGGTGGCTCATGCCTGTAATCCTGGCACTCTGAGAGGCTGAGGCAGGCGGATTGCTCGAGGTCAGGAGTTCAAAACCAGCCTGAGCGAGACCCCCATCTATACTAAAAATAGAAAGAAATTAATTGACCAACTAAAAATGTATATACAAAAAATTAGCCGGGCATGGTGGCACATGCCTGTAGTCCCAGCTACTAGGGAGGCTGAGGCAGTAGGATCACTTGAGCCCAGGAGATTGAGGTTGCTGTGAGCTATGTTGATGCCACGGCACTCACTCTAGCCTGGGCAACAAAGTGAGACTCTGTTTCAAAAAAAAAAAAAAAACAAAACAAAAAAAACCATAACAGATAATTGGAGTAGCTGAATTCTAGATAATAAAAACAGGCATAGAAAATGTTAACTGGATCACAACAGGACTTACTTAATGGGGATGGTCTCAGGATTAAATGATAATACACATAAATTGCTTAGTAAAGTAAGTATTAGATATAAAAGAGACACTAGCTATTATTATTATTAGGTATAAGAATAACATGCCTAACACTTAACAAATGCCAACTGTCTTGGGAAGAAAGGAAGTTTTTATGCACCAAATGATTAAGACATTTAGACAATAATTTAGGAAACTATATTCATTGACTTTTTGGTGATGACATTACAATAAATTATTTTTATGTATATTTATTCCTATAATTTGAAATACAGCATCAAATTACATGTTTCACATTTTTGAGTATTTAAAAGAAGAAAACTAGAAACTAGTGGAGAAAACTAGACTGTTCCCTCGAAACTATGAATCGGAAAGCGAAGTAACCTGTAGGGAGGATGCTGTACTAGCTACCCAGTCACCTCTTAGAAGCACCAACGACGGCAGGAAATGAAGGAAAGAAATTGGGGGAGCACTGAAGGGACAAAGCAATAAAAATGGTCGAGGTTCCTGGTAAAGAATTAGGAAGAAGGATCAGAACAGTGGGCAAAAAAAGTTTATGACTGTCTTCTTCGTTACCCTTCTTTCTTTGTTGTTTCTCCATATATGTAATATGCAAACAAATGTCTACTTTGTCTTAGGGGCCCAAGAGAGAAGGAGCTGGTTTCTCATCCTACTACACATAGACTGCGTACTGAGATATTTAGAAATTACAATTCAGCAAAATTTTCTAAACAGTTGAGCACAATCATAGTCCCTATACAGATAAATTGCATTTGTTAATTATCTGGCTAATGAAAAATAAAATTGATGTTTAGACGTTAAATTTATGTGTGTGGTCGTTATAGACAGTGATATGATTAGCTCAATAATTTTTCAGCTCTCCTTCAATCTGCCTGCATGACAGAAACTATAAGCAATATGGCTTTATTAAAGGATTTAAGAGAAGCCTTATGAAAAAAAATATTAATAAAGCATTTAGATGAATGGTGATTCAGAATTGTAATAGCCCTTTAAAATTCAGTATACTTGACTATCATGGTTGTGAATAAATGAGTGACATAATTGTCCTCAAATGGCTTTTCTAGAAGTACATTTTATAACAGAGACACACTTCCACTTATTTATTAAAATCATTTAAATAATGGGATATTTTGGATAAGGTAATAGTTGACAAGTAATTGTCATTATAAACACATACATACACATTATAAACACATACATACACACATACATGCACATATATATATACATGTATAACATATCTCTTACTCTGTGTGTATTCAAAACATGATAATGAAACAAAATGAACTTAATAACACAATTATGTTTATCTTGAAATCAATTTCTCTGGGTGATGTGGGAAATATTTCAAAATCTTTCAGGCCCTCTGGATCATCTTTATGCACACCAATTATTTCGGAAATGTTCCAAGAAGTAGTATGTCTGGGAAATTGAATTGGCTTTCTACTGCTCAGAGAATTGCTTTTTTGAATCATCACAGACACCAGTTTCTTATTTGTCATTTAGCTCTTTTTAATAACAAGAACGAAATACATTTTTTTTGAGTTTTCTAATTTTTAGAAAGTGGTGCATAAGTGGTAGAAAATTCTATCACTAATATATAAAATTATATATATATATAATATATAAAATATATAAAATTTCTTTTAACACAGAAGTGATGATGGAACTTCAGAATTACTTAAAAATGAAAGCCTAAGTATCTATAAAGTAATATAAGATAAAGTAATGTTTCCACAGCAATTGAAAAATATTAAGATTACACTGAAAAAGTGTCTCTGTTTCCATCTCCAATACACACGCAGCAAGGATGTAATGATCAAGATTTAGCTAATAGTAAATCATCAGTTTTAGAATATCAGGAAATCATTACAGGGAGACCCAATTGCTTTTGAGACATCCTTCCTCTCTGGTTCCAATGAATCCTAAGCATCTTTTGTGATACAGACCAAACTATCTCAAATAATTCTTTCTGAGAACTTTTCACAGCAAAAATAAGACAGAAATTGGAAGTGAGTTTTTATAATAATCCCATTTGGCTTTCCATAAAATTCTGACTTTAAATGTTATGAGATAGTAAGGCATAATGGAAAGTCCATTATCTCTAAATTAAGAGACGCCAAATTATAGTTACAACCACTCTCTGACACTGGGTAAAGTTTCAAAATCAGTCACTTCCTTTGTAAAATGAGGATAATAAAGAGACTTATCAGAAAGCACATCAGATGGCTGCAAAGATCCAATAAAATAATGCAGTAAAAGTCTATGTAAATCATTTCAAAAGTATTATTTTATTACTACTTTCTTATAAATAGAGCTGTGATGGATTAATACTGTGCATGCCTCTTTAATGCATCACAGTGACCATTTAGTGTCTTCCAGGAATCTGTTAGTAACCGGGAAGAATGTGGCAGTTAAGAACACGAGCTATGGAATCAGGCCAGTTGGCTTTGTCTTCCTGCTTCCCTCTTTCTGTCTGTGTGACCTTGGATAAGTTATCCCTTAAAGCCTCAGTATCCTCATTTGTAAATTGCAGTAGTGACAACAGCAACAATAATAGTAATAACAGCAATGCCAAACCTAATAGAGTTACTATGAGAATTAAGCGGGCTGATGTGTCTGAAGTACTCAGAATTCTGCCTACGTCTTAGATAGCTATTACTAATGGCTACTATCATTTATATGCCATGGCTTCCTTGTAGCGTATCCTGGTGTTTTAGTCAAATGTTTTAGCCATTTATACCATTTAATAAAAACTTGGGTTTGATAAATTGGGAATCATGTCTTGAGATTCAATTTGTATATTAACATTTTGGGAAAATATTACCTTTAAAAAAAAGCAAGACAATTCATCAGATGGCCAATTCAATGAATGGTCAATTCTTCATTTTCATGAACATACGATTTATTTAAAATAATATATATATATATATATATATACAGTCTTCATTAACATATTTTCTACTGTATTCAATGCATGTGTTTAAGTAGTATATTCTTTCTTTCTTTTTTTAAATAACTTATGAGTATATTCATTGATACACAGAGCAGATGCCATAAAATTTCAGCAATAACTAATATTTTTGACACAAAATTAGGATATTTTCATTTGATTCTGATATAACGTTAAGGCTAACATGATGAAGTTTATTTAGAGCAAAAATGTAAAACCATTTAAGTAATATGTGTACAAGTAAGATTCTTAAAGATAGGAATAATGTCCTTTTTTCCTTTGTTTCCCCTACCTAGCACAGAAGATGGGACTGGGGATATTTACTAAATGTTAATGAATGGAGAGGTGGGAGGGGAGGGAGAGAGGGAGGAGGAGAAGGAAGAAGGGAGAGAGGGAGGGAAGGAAGGAAGAAAGGAAGGGAGGGAGGGAAGAAGAAAATAAGGTGAAAGGAAAGGAGAGAAAAGGATAATATAGCAATAATTTCAGAAATACCAGAGAATCTTAGCTGATCAAAAACACAGTGCTCAAAGTCATGCAGCTCTAGCCTACACTCTGTCATTCAATAATCATTGGTTCTTGTATTAGGCACTTGACCTCTCCATATACAAGTTTCCTCATTTAACAGGAGACTACCACCCACCCTCACAGCACTGTCATGAGAATCAAACAGAATAACACTGTGGTTCAGAGTGCTTTGTGAATCTTTAAACAACGGATGTGTAAGATATTATCATTTTTGAAGAATTATTAAAACACATCAACAGCATTCCATTGCTGTTAGAATGTTTTTCAATTTTAGGTTGCAATGAGGTATATATAAGGTTTAGATCATAAAATCCAGTAGTTTTAAAGTTACCTGAGTTGATCATAGTGCATCAAGCACATAATTTTCCAAAGGGACTCTGACAAACACTATTACATCCAGGATTAAGAAAAGTTGTAAAAATTATGTCATGTGTGGAAGAACTGAAAACACTATGCTTGCTTAGAGAACTAAGGCAAGTTAGGACAATAATATTAGAATATTGATCTATAGCTGCATAAAAGTAATATATATGTGGTTGCAGAAGCAGAATGAGAGCCATTGAATGGAAAATACACAGAAGCAGATTTCAGCCACATAATAATTTTCCAATAATAAGCGCTATCTGTGGTAGGTGGAATAATAACCCCCAAAATACCCAGGTCCTGATTCCCAGAACCTGTGACTATGTTACCTTACGCGACAAGTGGGACATTGCGGATGTCATTAGGATTAAAGACCTTCACATGGGGAGATTATCCAGATGGGCCCAAACTAGTTATATGAATCCTTAAAGGCAGAAAGGTTTCTTTTCTGGCTGTGAAGAGAGGAAGATGTGACTACGTAAAAGTGGTCAGAGAGATGTAAGGTTGCTGGCTTTGAAGATGAGGAAGGTGGCAGCCATGAGCCAAGGAACGTGGGCAGCTATAGAGGCTGGAAAGGCAGGAAATAGATTCTCCTCTAGAGCATCCAGCTGGGAACACAGCCCTGCTGACACTTTGTTGACCTTCTAATCTAAAGAATATAAGATAATAGATCTATATTATTTAAGCCACCTATTATGGTAATTTGTTATAGCAGCAACAGGACACTCATACACTGCCCAAGCAGAGAAAGGCTACCTTAAAGGTAGGCCAATGTATCTTTAAGAAGTTGTTAGAGATGATGCTAAAAGTAATCTTGTAATGAATGGGTGAGAATTCACATCAAATTAACCCTATGACTTCCTTGAATTCCATGATTCTACAAGTCAGGGTAATTAAATTGCAGGCAGTGAAAAGAACTGGAGTAGAAAGCCACACCCAGGAGACCTTGGTCCCTTTCAGATTTCTGAGTCAGCTCTTCAGGTGGTTCAGTCATTCATTGATCCCAAGGCTCAAGAAGTCATGTCTAGTTGTAGGTCTATCCATTACAAAAAGAATTGACAATTACATAGGTTACTCTCAGATCCTGCTATGAATATTATGGTGCTATTTTGGAAAATTCTGGAGACAGTTATTCTTTGGGAGATCAACCTGAAATGAATTTCTAGTATGTCCAAATTTTGCTACATTCCCCCAACAACAGATCCAAATTCAATGGGAAACTCCAAAACCAACTTACTTTCTGAAGAGGTTCTAGAGATTAGATGGAACGAAGACCCTAAAAGAGGTCTGGGAGGCAGTTTTATAAAAACATGATTGATAATTGCACAGAAGGAGAAAGAGGGAAAGGATGCATTTACATACTCTGATGGTCTCTAACAAACATTGTCTACCTGTAAACTAAGTTATTTTGTCTACCTCCTGCTGGAGGAAGCAAAACAGAGCAAAATCATAATCAATACAATCATCAAAGTTTATTTGTGGATCCACAGATAGAACTAAGTTATTAATCCAAGATAGTCATGAGAATCATCCATGAGCTTTTTAAAGGCACAGAGTCTAGACTCCACCTTTCCAGATCAGGGTTAGCAGGTCTAGAATAGGACCAAGATTTCTATAGTTTCTAGAAGCACACTGACAAATCTTAACCACAGCCTGAGCTGGACACCACTGGAATGGGATACTACGCTTGGCCTAGGTCTACCAAGAGTATATTTTCTGGCCCTTCTTTCTTTGCCATCAAATATAAGTGAGAAGACCTATGATCCTGCCTCGTTGATCCAACACCATCCGCCCTCCCTTATGAATGATCTTTCTGGTTAAGAAACTCAGATAAGCAGCCACTTAGAGCATCTCAATTGCTTGGATACCAATCAGGATCCCCCAGATCAACTCTATACGTTGGTCTGCTGATTTATACTGTGACGATTCGTTTCCCTGATATGCTCTGGTTTCACAAGTTAAACTATCTTTGAGTTACTTGACCTGTCTTTCTAATGACTCATTTGTCTAGAGGGAAACGTGAAATAGAAATAAAAGCAAAAGCCATGCTCTTACCAAGAAGACGATGTTGGTGTTTTGATAAAGAGCTCGCGCCACGCAGATTCTCTGTCTTTGGCCCCCGCTCAGGTTGATTCCCTAGGGAAGAAGTGCCCACAAACACCCATTTGTTTCATTAGTAAATGGTCTCTTAGTAAGAATTACCTTTAAAATACAAGTGTCTCTTTTAAAAATCTTACGTTATTAGTAGTTTATTAATTAAATTGTGAAAACAATGGTAAGAAAAAGTAAAAACCGTCTGAAGGCCAGTGCTCCAATTATATCAAGATACATTTTGATGGATGACATCAATCCTCCTTCCACTCTGACAGACGCTTCACTGTGCAAAAGCGTTAATAACCAGAACACTTGATGAGTGCAGAAGACAGTAAGCAACGCCAACCTTTTTTCTAGTTTCCTGAATTGGGTCTATAGTTTACCTAACATATATACCTCTTAAAATTAACACTGCAAATTATGTCAAACAGTACTATACAACAGTATGCATTCATAATGTATTAATACAAATTATACACTTAAAAAAAAACTAGCAATTGAGAACTAAAAGCTACCAAAAACTAGCAATTGAGAACAAAAAACTACTAAAACTACTAACTGAGAACTTAGTATGTGCCAGGCTTGTGTACATGGCTTTACATTTCCGACTTCTTTTATTCTTCATAGCATTGCCAATATGTTGGTATTGTTTTCATTTTACACACGTGGAAATTGAGGCTCAGAGAAGTTAAGTTCATTCTCTTAAACACTATACTATGAAGCAGTAAAGACCAGCCATTAAGAACAAAGGCTACAGAGTCAGCCTAACCCTGGCGACACCACTATCTCTTCAATTGGGCAAATTCCTGCCCCTCTCTTGGCCTTGGTTTTCTCATCTGTAATATGCAGGTAACAATAACACCTGTAGCACAGACTCATTATGAAAGGATATAATGCATATAAAGGTTTTGCCCTGTACTTGCCACTTATTAAAAAGATTTAGTCATTACAGGTATATACATTTTTCAGCTGATCAGGATAGTATACCATCGATGTAAAACATTGATGTTCAAAGAATAAAGAACCCTTTAATAATAATAAATAGATGTTGATAAGAGTGGAAAAAAATTGTTGAAAGCAATCGCAGTTTCCAAACCCATTACAGTAAGTTCCACATAAGCAAAAATACATTTGGTCAAAGCCAGAGACTATGTTCTACTTTCCTTAAGAACTCCGGAGTGGCTAGCACAATGTTAAGTATATGGTGGTTATTTAATAAATACTTAAGGGAGCATGCCATCAAAGGACCCCTGTCCTCAAATTTCTGGAACTTGTCACTGGGACAACACACAACTCCTAAACTCTCGGATTTCATTATTATGTTCCATTACAGATTAAAAACAACCAGAAGACTTTTCTAGATTTTTTGCTCATTGCTTAATTAAACTATGAATAGCTCACCCTCTCTCCAATTTCAGTTTGGTCTCCAAATGGTAATAAGTCAATATCTGGCTGAAGAGAACAGGCATCTGTGACAGCTTTGTACCTTTGGGAGAAATGATTTTGGATTTTTAGATCGCTATTAATACACAGCCCATAAACCAAGTTCTAAGTTCAATATCTTAGAAGCTGAAATAAAACATTTATTGAATAACTTCTTGTATACTAGCCTCGGCACTAGATTTGTAGATACAAAGGTACATAGTGCTGGCTTCCCACTCTTAAAGAGCTAGCATGTGGAGCCAAAGACTGATACAAAAACATGATGACAATGGACCTTGTTAGGTGCTCTAGCGGAGGTGAGTACACAGTACTCCTAGAATACAGGGGAAGAAACCACTATGCAATCCAAGAAATTACAGAGTACGCAATGCTTAAACTGTATTCAGAGAGGTGAGTTATTTTCCAAGAATAAAATGAGGAAAAGAAAGTTTAAGAAAACTTAAAGATGGAAAAAAAAAGTTCATGGTGCATGTGAAGGACAACAGGAGGTTCCCCATGGCTAAAGCATAGGTGTGGGTGGGCAAACTTGCATAACTACCATGCACGCTTAAGGGAAGGGAAACAGCAGATGAGGAAGACTGATAGCACCCACGTTGTTCTAGGGCTGAGACTGGAAATCAGATGAATTAGAAGTACAGGAAAGCATGCAGGTTAAAGGTGCTGGAAAGATTATTCATGGTTTCATTTTCTTAATCACTTAGCCTTAAACTATTCAAATCATTTTTTTTTTTTTTTTCTGAGACAGAGTCTCGCTTTGTTGCCCAGGCTAGAGTGAGTGCCGTGACATCAGCCTAGCTCACAGCAACCTCAAACTTCTGGGCTCAAGCGATCCTCCTGCCTCAGCCTCCCGAGTAGCTGGGACTACAGGCATGCACCACCATGCCCGGCTAATTTTTTCTATATATATTAGTTGGCCAATTAATTACTTTCTATTTATAGTAGAGACAGGGTCTTGCTCTCGCTCAGGATGGTTTCGAATTCCTGACCTCGAGCAATCCGCCTGCCTCGGCCTCCCAGAGTGCTAGGATTACAGGCGTGAGCCACCGCGCCAGGCCTCAAATCATTCTTGATGCTTCCCTCTTCTTCTCCTTGTTCGTATCTGTCCATTCTTAATTTAGAATGTTTTTTTCTCAACCATCCCGTCTTTTACATTTCTACTGTCACTCCCAAGTACAGGCAACAAACACTGCACTTCTGGGTAATTATTCCAACTGACTCTGAAATGTCTCCTTGACATATTTGTCTATTTGTCAGATTTCACTTTCAGATTTAGCTTGTTGTCCCCCTTTCTAAAACTTGCTATGCCTGCCCAGAATGCACATCGTGACATCCAGTTGGCTTTCAGGCCCTCAGTGTCTGGTCTCAGCCTTCTGAATCTCTTTCTGTCTGGTTTGCTCCTAGGTCCTAACAATCCCACGTAATCTTCTTACAGACTGTCTATTTTCCTCCTCTCCTTCCCTTCCTCACACCTCTCTCCTTATCTCATTCTCCTTAACTTGCAAGACCCAGCTTAGGGACCTAAAACCCATTCTTGTGAGAGTGGCTGGAGGAAAGGTCATACATACTTCCATATATGGCAATGGTACTTTTTAAAAATTTTTTTTTATTTTGAGACAGAGTCTCACTCGGTTGTTTGGGCGGAGTGCCATGGTATTCAGCCTAGCTCACAGCAACCTAAAACTCCTGGGCTCAGGCGATCCTCCCGCCTTAGCCTCCCGAGTAGCTGGGATTACAGGCATGTGCCACCATGCCCAGCTAATATTTTCTATATATTTTTAGTTGGCCAATTAATTTCTTTCCATTTTCAGTAGAGACGGGGTCTCGCTCTTGCTCAGGCTGGTCTCGAACTCCTGACCTTGAGCGATCCTCCAACCTCGGCCTCCCAGACTGCTAGGATTACAGGCGTGAGTCACCACACCGAGCCCTGGCAATGGTATTTAAAAGATGGTTGGTTGATGGTATATTCTGGCTGCTCCAGGGATAGACTCCTCAGATCCTACATTCTTCATCTTTCCATGGTTAATCTTCCTTCTGCAATTTACTTGGATTTTTTGTTTTCCTTTCTTTATCTGCTCACCAATAACGTAAACAACATCTCCTATCCCATCCCATCCCATCCCACACCCTGGACACATACACACTTCAATTGCTGCTCTTTAGTCTTGGCGTGCAAATTGTTCTCAACAAGTGTATGGGATGGGCTGACACTTCCAATGAGGCGTGTCTTCAGAGAATTTATTCCAAAGACCTTGGTGATGAAGATGAAGTGGGGCAAGCAGGGAAGAAAGAAAGTCCCCCATGTAAAGGTTCCAGAAACCGTGGACCAAACACAAGGATCAGAAATAGTTGCCATTTCAGTTTTAGCTTTTATATGCTCAAAAATTACCTCTGCTTGTTGAAAGGACTTCCAAAGGTAATATTTTCTTCTACTGTAGCATTTAATAGCCAAGGCTTTTGAGCTGCATAAGCCACAGAATACCTGTTCCTACTGAGAAATGGAAAAGAAAAACACCAGAATTATGCAAGGGTGCTGGGCTTCTAGCATAACCAAGAGAAATAAAAAAAAATTAATAAAATATTTCAAACACAGAAATGGAAAACTTCTAAAAGAGAAAATTTTAAAGACCACCAACCTTATTAAGAAATGATTAAAATATGTCACCTAAATTAAAGGGATTAGAATGGAATAAAAAAGTCACATGATGTGTAAAATTTGATTCTGCTATGCTAAAGAAATGTTTTAAGGTATAAGGTGCTAATAGAAATTTTCTAAAATGATTAAAATCTTAAAAATGATTAAAAGATTAATAATTCACTGTCTCCCATAGCCACAGATACTTTAATGTAGATAAAAAGCACTTTATAAAACTGTGAATTTTATATGCAGGCCTTAGAAAAAAGATGTGAATTGATACTATAATTATAATATGTGTTTGTGGCTTAATCCCATCAACATATTTTAAGATAATATAAATATTTCAAAACAAAGGATAATATCTTTCAATATTGAAATTGCATATTTAAAGAATATATATTTTAAAACATATTGAAATAATTTATTTTTAAAAAGTGATAACTTCTTCCCCACTCTATTTTTTTTTTTGGCTTGATAATTCTACCAGATGTGTGTATGTATGTATGTATGTATGTGTATATACATACATATATATATATATCTCAGATTTTAATTTTCAATAATTAGGAAAATACAAATGAGCTGAAGATAAATAAGAAGATGGGATTGGAGTAAGAAAAGAGTAGGTCAGACTTCCACAATTAGTTTATGATCTGTAAGTACTAATTAAGGAATTAAGGTTAAAAGAGAGTAAGGTTAAGAAAAAGAGTAGTTAGAAATGCTCAATGATCTTCCTGAAACATTATGACTTAGGAGTCAGAAGACATGATAGCTCATAGTATGCTAGTAGTTTCTTAGATAATCATATTGTGCAGTAGAACAGTGGTTCCCAACCTCTGATATGGCTGCCTCCCTTGCCCACCTCGTCTTTAAGTATTTTTTTTTTCTTTTAAGTAGATAAAGCAGTTGACTCTCCATCTTTACTTTATAGGCAGACTCTACCCCTGTTTAACTCACAGTCAACATAGATATTAATTCTTACATTTTTATTTTATGAAACCCCAAACCCAGTTTACTAAGGGACAATTTGAGTTTCAGCCAAAATTGAGATGCATGTGACTCACTGAGAGGAAAGCAGTTGACACAATGAGCCATTTAGTTTGGAGAGTCAATTCTTTTCATAGCCTGCAAAGGTTGAGAACTACTGCTACTGGAAATGCACCGGCACATTTGGGTAAATAACTGTGCATCATCAGAATGAACGAAATAACCAGGAGTAAGAGATTAAAGTAAAGTCCGAGGAAGGAAGTTATTCTTATTAAACTCAGGTTAAAATAGAAATAATACCTTCTGGTTGCTTCAAAAGAAGGCTCAGATTCATTTACACTGCAAGTATGGCAAACAATGTTCATTAATTGTGAAGTATAAATATAGAATGAATGTGCGTACATTATCAGGTAAGAGAGAAAATAAACATTGGACATATTCAAGAGCTGAATTTCCCGAATGGTCTTTAACATTAATTTCAAATACTAACTAGATTAATAATACTCTTCTTCGATGTCTTCGTCAGCTAGGAAATATTATTTAGTAAGATCCCAAAAGATAGCACTGTTATCTTTCCTACAAAATTTTGGTTCACACAATGACCTGGGTTCCAGTCTCAACTCTGTTCTAATTAGCTGTGACCTTGGGTGATCTCTCTAGAATATAGTTTCCTAGCTTCGTAAGGATTTTATATTTCCAAGTCTTACCCACCTTTAAAATTTGAATTCAATCTATTCAAATTTTTAATTAGCCACCCTAAAGCATGAGCAGAAGAAATACTTTTGGGTCTCTAAACATGAAAGGTGCACAAAATACAGCTGACCCTTCAGGAGCTTTTAAAAGACAGACATGCCTAAGAGGTCAAACTATGATATCTGAGTATAATTAATTACTGCTCAATATGATTTATATAAAAAACGGGGTTTGACTGATTACATTTAATTATTCCTATATTATGGGGGAAAACACTGGAAGACCTATTTGTTTTATTGTTCTAATTTTTCATAATTTAGGATCAGTTCAATCTCACCATTCTGAAAGACTTGATTTCAATAACTACGTGCGTAATCAAAGCCTACAGGAACTCCAAAAATCAATCCTATTTGACTCTTGAAAGCATCATATGTTTTTGTGGAGAACATTTACTTAATTATATTACTTACTGATATTTTTGTTTAAAGTAACTAAGGATCACTTTCACTATCGCACACTGCTAATCACATCTTGGGATGGTTGATAGAGGCAAGGGAAAAAAAAATCTCAGACTAAAAATTTTCTCTCAATAATGATTATTCACTGATTTAAGTTACTCATTAACAATAATGAAATGCTCCATTTCACACATGATATTTTCCATATAATATGCCTCAGATACCAAGAGATTTGGATTTTATTTTCTTAGTGGTAAAAAACCAACAGATGATCTCAATAGTTTTAGCTAATCTGAGGAAGAAAGAGAAGAGAGGAGGAAGGGCCAGTGTGTGGCAGAAAGTAACGTACCCAAGTGCCTGTCAATCCATGAGTGGATCAATAAAATATGGCACAAGTATACAATGGAATACTACTCAATTACAAAAAACAATGGTGATCTAGCACCTCTTAAATTATCCTGGTTAGAGCTTGAGCCCATCCTTCAAAGTGAGGTATCGCAAGAATGGAAGAATAAGCACCACATGTACTCGCCATCAAATTGGCACTAACTGATCAGCACTAAGGGGCTCACATGGTAGTAATATTCACTGGGGGTTAGGGAGGTGGGGGTGGGTAAACTCACAACTAATGGATGCTGTTAGCATTGTATGGGGGAAGGGCATGCCTCTGATCCTGACTTGGGTGAGGCAAAGTTATAACATGTAGCCAAAATGTTTGTTCCCCCATAACATCCTGAAATAAAAAAAATAAAAGAAAGAAAGAAAGTAACATGTCAACATGGCCATCCTGGCCATCCAGGTGGAAATGTGCATAGACATGTGGAAATGCCTATGAGATGGCCATATGGATTTAGAAGTCATCAATTTATTCAATAATGATTGATTGAATTCCAACTGGATTTATTCAATATCAATTCAAAAATAAATATTGATTATCGCCTAGTGCCAAGAATACTGGAGATACGGTGAACAAGGAAGATCCAGTCCTTCTTTCATGCTGCTTTCACTTTGGTGGGAGCAGGACAAGGGAACATGTGCTAAACAAGTGGGTTAAAGGGAGGTATTAGGGCACAGATAAAGAACGAGGAAAAAAGAACCAAAGAACCAGGCCACCTTTGGCAAATCAGAGTATCTAACGATGAAGTTGATACCAGAGGGATAATTAAGAGTGAGCAAGATGAAGAAAAGGCCAAGAGTACTTCAGACCGAGAGAAAATACGCATTAGATGACCGTGAGGTATCCCAATCATACGAGGAACTGATGTAAACTCAGCAAAGTGATACTGTAGGTATAAATGGCAATGAACTTCAAGAAAGTAAGCACAGCCAGAAAGAGCTCATAAATCATTTTACTGAGCTTGAACTTTTCCCCAGAATAGCAGAAAAGCACGAGGGGTGGTGGTGGTTTGGTTTAGAAATATCACTCTGATTGCCAAATGTAACAAGGGAATTGGAGGAACAAGAATGGAGGTGACACAGGGCACATGGAGGCTGTCAGAATCATGGAGATTAGAAGACAGGGCCATCAGTTAGGGTGAGGCAAATGAATGTGAGAAGGTGACACATTAGAAGATACTTTGGATCGTGTGACTGAGTCGATATAGAGGAGAAAGGAGAGGAAGGAGTCAAGGACAGGAAGCACATATGATGGGGGTAGATCATGAATTCAGCATCAGACATGTTCAGTTACAGCTGCCTAAGGAATATCCCAGTGGCGTGGCCAGGAAGCTCAGGAGAGAGATCTGGGAAACAAATGAAGACTTTAGAGAGTGATTCCCTCAGGATATATGCCTTAGAGACCAGGAACTTTGGGTTAAAATAGACATTTAAATGTAAAGACAGGCATAAGAAAATTAGAAGAATGGATATAGTGATTGGTTAAATTTTGAGGGCAATGGAGAGAGAAGTGTCTAGGTCAAATCTCTGGGCTCTGACTTGGGCACCCGTCAAGTGATTGATTTCAGGGGCTGAGGATAAACCCCTCCCAGATGCAGAAGGAGAAGCAGGTTTTGGAGATATGAGGTATCAGAGTTCGGTTTGGATATGTTGAATTTGCAGCTTGGGTAAGACTTTTTGGAGAAGCTATCAGGTCTTCAAAAGAAAGATCTTGGCCAAAAATGTATACTGGGGTGTCATTAGTAGAGGAGCTGGAGTCAAAGACATAATTTAAGGGATAAGCAAAGGAAGGGAAGACTACAATAGACTGAAAAGAACAGTGAGAAAGATTGAAGAAGAATTAGAATATTCTTCCCCACCTTTCACCTCTGCTCCTATTGCAGCTTCTGACTTTTGGAATCATTAATTTTGGCTTATCCTTAAAATGCAAGTTCGAGTATCATTTATTTGCTCACTCTGTCAAGAAAGCCTTTGTTGACCCCACAGACTCAATTCAGTCAGGTCACCTATTATTTGCTTTTATAAAACCCTGTATTTCTCCTTCATGATATTTCTAAAAAATTAATCAAATAATTAATTATCAAATTATTTTACTTCCTTGTGGTTGTTCTTTGTTCACTTATTTATCTCCCAACAACTGATCAATTATTTGCCTATAATAGGTGTGCAATAAATATTTTTAATAAATGAATAAATGAAAATGTCATGGAAACCAAGAAACAAGTTAGTCTTGAGCAGTCATCAGTGGTGAACTGTTTCAAAATCTATGGAGAAGTTAAGTAGGACTGAGAACAACTTATTGGGATTTAGCACTGAGTCCATCATTACACGAAATAACCTGGTCCGTGTCTAGACTCATCTTCCATCATTCAGAGTGGTTGTCAATAGCACTTAAGACAATAAGAAAAAGGAAAGAGGTCAAAGCAAAGACGGAAAATCCCCTTCTGGAATATAGAATAAGATTTCACTTCTGAAGGCCTCTCGTGTAGGATTTGTGTGTATTTTCCTCCAAGAATAAAAGTTCAATTTGACACAATATAGTAGCAACTTTCAAGTATTATGGTTGACACATTACGGCATGAGAGAGTGACTTTCCCAAGCTTAAGTCAGGAATGATAGGTGGAAAAAGGAAAGTTAGATGTCGGTACAAACATGCTATATTACATCTGATGCTGGAAAACTGGCTCAACATGTTATTATTCCTTCGTGCCAGGTGAAGTCACATGAAAAGGAATAACTTCTCAATTCGTCTGTCTTCAAATAAACCACTGTTATAAAGCTGGTTACAGCAAGATGGTAGAACACAGAATATCAGGACAGTTGGGGCCTGAAGAGTAGAATGGTTGATGGCATGGGTGAGAGGGAAAGGAAAAGAAAAAGAAACCCAAGATAAATGGTGGCTATTTCTCACATAATTACCCCAATGACTACACATTCTGGACTCTCACTGGAACGTCCATCACGTAAAAGACTTTTAGTGCTAGCTCCCTAGTTATCAGTAGAAGTCATTGTTTTTCATGACAATCAGGAAAGGATAACTTCAAGTCAATAGAACTTTTGTTTTTCAACAAATATGAAGCACACCTGAATACAAGATTGATGTGCAAATTATAACGGCATTCTGACAATTTTGCAGATTTTTTTTAGTTCCTCCCTCCTCTTTCTCACCTTTCTCCTCTGAGGCCACAATATGTCAGACTAGGTCAAAGGTCCCAGTTCCCAAGGAAATATCTGTCAGTGTCTTTGTATACCAGGTTCTACACATGTAGATGTGTCCTGGATGAACAGAAGTGCCTTCGGTCCTGCCCTAAGTAAATATTTCTTGCTGCAATAGGTCAGAGTACTTTACTGGATTTTGCTCATGCCCATATATGAGGACACACTTAAAAATAAAATTTATGTAACCAGAGACACATGCAATGGTGAAAGAATGACAACAAGGCACTTGATGTCTTACCATAACATTTAGATTATAGTTCTGAGCTTTAAAAAAGCAATTTAGTCAAACAATTTAGTCTGCTGATGTAAAGGACTTCTAAGCATTTGCACATCAGCAACCTATTAATATCAATAACTTCTAAATTAGCTTTGCTCTAATTAATAGTTATATGCCTTTCTTTCTTGGACTGGGCACACAGTTTTTTATTCTAGAATGAAAAGAATAATTACAAACAACTCTTTAAAAAAAAGGTCAATATCTTTTAAATATTTCTGGTCCTAAAATATGGTAATCAGATATTAAGGATACCATGGAAGAAAATTAAGTAATTATTTTAATTAAGGAAAAATGGAATTTGCATTACTTTATTCACTCTCTTAGAGGATTGGTTTTTCATTTGTTTGTATGTTGGAGCCAACCCAACATTTTTTTTTTTAGACAGAGTCTCACTTTGTTGCCCAGGCTAGAGTGCCATGGCCTCAGCCTAGCTCACAGAAACCTCAAACTCCTGAGCTCAAGCAATCCTTCTGCCTCAGCCTCCGAAGTAGCTGGGACTACAGGCATGTGCCACCATGCCTGGCTAATTTTTTCCATATATTTTTAGTTGGCCAATTAATTTCTTTCTATTTTTTAGTAGAGACAGAATCTCGCTCTTGCTCAGGCTGGTCTCGAACTCCTGACCTTGAGTGATCCTCCCACCTCGGCCTCCCAGAGTGCTAGGATTACAGGCGTGAGCCACCGTGTCCGGCCTCTTTACTTATTCTTGAGAGATGTCTGTATACCTAAACAGCAGACTAAGCCACAGTGGAACTCACGATAGTAGGTACAAAATGATATTAAAGAACATCTCTAGGTCTAGAGCAATGTTTCCCAAACTCAGCACGACTGATATTTGCAGCAATACAATTCCTTGTTTTGGGAGCTGTCCTGTGCATTGTAGAATATTTAGCAGCATCCTGGCCTCCATCCACTAGATCAGTAGCAGCCCAATGACCCAGTGTGATAAACAAATATGTCTCCCAATATTGCCAAATGTCCCCTAGGGGCAAAATCACACATACTTGAGAACCACTGGTCTATAGTCCAATTTCTTAGATATGCTATAGCCAATTTCTTTATAAACTCCTTATAAGAAGTATACTAGGTAGGCCAAAGTAAATATAATTTAATTTTTATCAAGCATTTATATTTTATGGTTCTGAATCACTTTATTATCACAATGTGCTTTGAAGACTACCATTCAAATATCTAGAAGAAGCTCTACTCTAGAATCAACCATTCAAATATCTGGAAGACGCACCTCCTTTTCCACGTCTTTAGTGTTGCAAGACACACTAGTCAGATCTAGCCATATCTCTAACTAGATAGTTCCAGTATCTAGTTCAAATGAGGCATGAAGAGAAATAGCTGATTTTTCAGTCTCCTATGAAGGTTTCAGAGAAGATTATTTGCTATTTCTTCTCTGAAGACTGAAACGTTAAAGAACTGTTTGCATTTAAGCTTTATAAAGAATGCAAGTTTTCCATAACTTGTTTTATTGTTGATTGAGTTTTTAAGTGATTTCTTTGAGTGTTACCTACTTAACTTTAAAAATCTATCTTTACAATTCCAACCTTACTTTTATCTCAGCAACATGCTAGTTTATATTATTATAAATCTCTACAATACATTGTTTTATACTTTTTTATTTATGACATTGAAAGTTCCTACTGATTTTTTTTTTTTTTAAGCTGCACTTACTTCTAAGGAGTCCTCAGACTCACAACATGGGAATTTATTGCTCTAAGTTTTTCTCTTGGAAGATTATCAGATGTTTGACAGAAACTAATTAAAAATACACGTACTTGCTCCAGTGAACTTTGCCTTCCAGTGTCTGCATCTCACCGAGGATAGCAAGGAGAAGTGAGGACTTCCCACATCCCACTTGGCCCACAATCATGGTTAACTGACCTAGAGAAATAGAAACACAGGATCATAACAGGATGGGATGGAATTCTCTTAGTAAGATATAACCAAACCCCATTTAGAAAAGATTAATGTTTCACAATCAATGGCCCAGTTTTGGTCTCCAACAATAAGGTATTCTAAATAACTCCTTTTCCTGATACATATATCTTTTGGGAAAAGGAAAGAAAAATTAAAACATATTAGTCTTGATTTATTATTTTTAAAGCTATGGGTGGGACTGCAAACTAGTTCAGCCTCTATGGAAAGCAAAATGGAGATATCTTAAAGCAATACAAGTAGATCTACTATTTGATCCAGCAATCCATTACTGGGCATCTACAAAAAAGAACAAAAGTCACTCTATGAAAAAGACACCTGCACTTGAATGTTTATAGCAGCACAATTCACAGTTGCAAAGATATGGAAACAACCGAAGTGCCCATCAATACATGAGTGGATTAATAAAATGTGGTAGATGTATACCATGGAGTACTATTCAGCTATAAGAAAAAATGGTGATATTGCATCTCTTGTATTTTCCTGGCTAGTCCTAGAACCCATTCTATTAAGTGAAGTATCCCAAGAATGGAAAAACAACCACCATATGTATTCACCAGCAAATTGGTACTAACTGATCAACACTAAAGTGGACATATAGAAATAACATTTATGGAGTGTTGGGCAGGTGGCGGGGGAGGGGATGGGTATATACATACATAATGAGTCTGATGCACACCAACTGGGGGATGGACACACTTGAAGCTCTGACTTGAGGGGGGAGAAGAGCAAGGGCAATATACATAACCTTAACATTTGTACCTCCACAATATGCTGGGGGAAAAAAACCTATGGGAATAGCTGACATTAGTAAAGAGATCAATGAAATAATTACCTAGATTATCTGTATTAGTTTCAACTTTATCATTCAATTCATTCAGGAGAAAGGGGCAGTTTTGACTAAAAGAGGTAATTAAAATGAAAAGTGATTTGGGCTAAATATTAAGACACTATCTCCCTTTTTTCTCTATGACTTGCATGGCTAATAGAAAAATCCTAATCTACTATCAGACCAGGTCAAAAAATAAAAAAGATTTCTGTTCAATTATCTAGATATTTGAAATAAAAGTTATTGGATTTATTGCCAAATGTTTTATTCTTTTTGATGCCATTGTAAATGTTATTGTTTTCTTAATTTCCTTTTGGGTTAATTTGTCTATAAATATTTAGGAATAAACTTACAAGAAGATGAAAGACTTGTACACCGAAAGCTATAGGGCATTGATGAAAGAAATTAAAGCAGACACAAATAAATGGAAAGACTGGAAGAATTAATGTTCACAAACTGGAAGAATTAATATTGTTAAAATGTTCATACTATGTAAAACAATCTACAGATTCAATGTAACTACCAAATGTAACTATCAAAATCTCAATGGCATTTTCTCAGAGAAATTTTAAAAATCCTAAAATTCATAGGGAACTACAATAGATCCCAAATAGCCAAAACAATCTTTAGCATGAACAACAAAGTTATAGGCATCACACCTCTTGATTTCAAATAGATTACAAAGCTATAGTAATAAAAACGGTATGGCATGAGCATAAAATAGCCATATAGACCAAAAGCACAGAAGAGACAGCCCAGAAATAAACCCACGCATATACAGTCAACTGATCTTCAAGAAGGGTGTCAAGATCATACAATAGGAAAAGGACAGTTTCTTTAACAAATGGTGTTGGGAAAACTGGATATCCACATGCAAAAGAATAAAATTAGACTCAAACATTACACCATACACAAAAAAATCGGTAAAAATAGATTAAAGACTTAAATGTCAGACCTGAAACTATAAAAATCCTTGGAGAAAACATAGGGGTAAATCTTCTGGACATTGATCTTGGCAATTGTTCCTTGGATTTGACACCAAAAGCACAGTCAACAAAATAAAAAATAGACAAGTAGAACTACATCAGACTAAAAAGCTTTTGCACAGACAACAATCAACAAAGTAAAAAGGCAACTTATGGAACGGGAGAAACTATTTGCAAGCCATCTATTGGATAAGGAGTCAATATCCAAAATATATATTAATAAGAATCTCCTACAACTTAATAGCAAAAAACCAAATAATTCAATTTAAAAATGGGCAAAGAACTTGAATAGATATTTCTTTTAGTAAGACATACAAGTGACCAGCAGATATATAAAAAAGATGTTCAACATCACTAATAATCAGAGAAATGCAGGTCAAAACCACATTGAGATATCACTTTCCACATGTTAGGATGGCTATTACCAAAAAACCAAAAGATAACATGTCTTGGCAAGACATGGAGAGATTGAACCCTTACAAATTATTGCTGGGAATGTAAACGGTGCAGCCACTATGGAAAACAGTATGGAGGTTTCTCAAAAATTTAAAAGTAGAACTACCACATGATCCAACAATCCCAGTTCTGGGTATTTATACAAAAGAATTAAAATTAGGATCTCAAAGAGGTATCTTCACCTCCATGTTCACTGTAGCATTACTCATAATAGTCAAGATATAGAAACAATCCAAATGTCCATTGACAGATCAATGAATAAAGAAAATGTGGTATAAACATACAATGGGCTATTCTTCAGCCTAAAGAAGAAGGAAATCCTGTTATCTGTGACAACATGGATGAACGTAGAAGACATTATGCTAAGTGAAATAAGTTAGTCACAGAAAAACAAAGATTGCATGATTCCACTTATATGAGGTATCTAAAATAATCAAATTCACAGAAGCACTTATCATCAGGGAAATGCAAATCAAATCCACAACGAGACATCATCTTACCCTAGTTAGAAAGACAAACATCACAGACGTTGGCAATGACGCAGAGAAAAGGGAACTCCTATACACCGTTGGTGGGAATGTAAATTAGTACCCTATTAGGTATTTATCCAAAGAAAGAAAAATCAGTATATCAAAGAGATGCCTTCACTCACATGTTTAATGCAGCACTATTCACAATGGCAAAGATATGGAATCAACTTATGTATACATCAACATGGATAAAGAAAAATGGATAAAGAAAATTTGGTATACATATACGATGGAATTCTATTTGGCCATTAAAAAAAATGAAATCATGTCATTTGCAGCAGGTCATTATGTTAAGTGAAAGAAAGACAAATATCAGAAAGACAAATATCACATGCTGTCACTGACATGTGCGAGCTAGAAAGTCAATCTCATAGAGTTAGAGAGTAGGACAGGAGATACCAGAAGCTGGAAAAGTGTGAGTGGGAGCAGGGAATGAAGAGAGGTACGTCAATGGGTCCAAACAGACAGTTAGATTGAAGGTATAAGTTCTAATATTTGATGGTAGAGTAGGGTGACTGTAGTTAACAACAGTGTATTGTACATTTCAAACTAGCTAGAATAGAGAACTTGAAATGTTCCCAACACATAAAAATGATCAATACTCAAGGTGATAGACACCCAATACCCTGACTTGGTCAGTACACATTCTAAGCTTGCAATAAATACTCACATGTACCCCATAAATATGTATTAATACAAATATCATATATCAGTAAAAAATTTAAAATCTTTCTTAACCAAAATGAGAAATCTACCACCCCATTATTTAAATGACACAAATAAGCAATGAACAGTAAATAATTAAATAACTTCTCTAAAGGTACACACTCTGTAGTGAAATGCAGGTCTTCTAATTACCAGTCATTTCCACAGTGACACAATGATTCATGAGCAACATAGTGCAAATAAGTAAACTTAAATAACATTTATGCCTTTAAAAAGTCTTCTCTTTTTTGTTAGTTAGGTGCAACTATCTTGGAAAACTACGGTGGTGATAATTAATCATTGCAAAAATGCATAACAAATGATTCTTACCTGTTGGAATTCGAATGTCTATGTTGGATAATGTAGCTAAACCACTGCCCCATGAAAAGTATCCATTTGTGACCTAGATAAGACGAATATAGAAATTGGATTATATATGTGGTATTAAAGAATAATTCTAATCAAAATAAATTTTCATTTTAAAGTGCTGAAAGACTTTCAACACAAGGTAGCTGTTTGGCCTTAGAAAATCAGCTAACATATAAATATATCTTTGCATAGGTTCATTAAGGATAGGTACACTGATCATCATCATAACAAGGTTTGTGATAGAGGGACATAAGCTTAGCATCCATCACTAAGGGATAAGTAAAATGCAGGATGCATACTACAGGATACAGTGGTACAGTTAAAAGGAGCCAACTATCATAAAAACATTGAAATAAAGGCTGGGCGAGGTGGCTCACGCCTGTAATCCTAGCACTCTCTGAGGTCGAGGAGGGGAGAATTGCTCAAGGTCAGGAGTTCGAGACCAGCCTGAGCAAGAGTGAGACTCTGTCTCTACTAAAAAAATAGAAAGAAATTAATTGGCCAACTAAAAATATATAGAAAAAATTAACCAGGCATGGTGACACATGCCTATAGTCCCAGCTACTCAGGAGGCTGAGGCAGAAGGATTGCTTGAGCCCAGGAGTTTGAGGTTGCTGTAAGCTAGGCTGCTGCCTCGGCACTCTAGCCCGGGCAACAGAGTGGGACTCTGTCACAAAAAAACAAAACAAAACAAAAAACCACTGAAATAAACTGAAAGCACACAGATGCTTATGACAACACTACATGTTTTACAAGGACATGAGCATGCTTGTCTTAAGCAAGCACATTAGAACTGGTACCATAATGTCTGGGGTGGGTGGTGCAGTGGGGTGGGGAAGTGGGTGAGTGCATAGGAATGAGGATCAGGGATACAGGGAAAAAATTAATTAAAATTTAAAGGCAGGAGCTAGACAGACACACACACAAAATCACCTATTGTATGATTACATTTATAGGAAATATCCAGAATAGGCAAATCCACAGAGACAGAATAGAGATTGGCTGTTGCCAGGGGCAAAGGGAGCAGGAAATGGAGAGCATTGCTTAATGGGTTTGAGGTTTCCTTTTAAGGTGATGAAAATGTTTTGGAACTAAGTAGAGGTGGTGGTTGCACAATATGTGAAAAATGGCACTGAATAGTTTGCTTTAAAATGGTTAATTGTATGCTATGTGAATTTCACTTCAATGAAAAACATTTTTTTTTTTAAATTATAAAGGCAGGGCCTTTTAAAGGCCATTGTCCATTTCCTCCTGCTGAAAATAAGTAAAAATGCTGAACAAAATATAGTTTGTAAAAAAAAAATCTCATTAAAGCAAGGAGTTAGAAAATATCAAGTCAAAGTATAAGGAAAAATGTAAATGCAAGAATGTGAGCCCCAGAGCACCTAAGCCTCCTTCTCCCAAAGGGCTAAGTATATTAAACAGCTAAGAAGAAAAACAACAGGGTATAAGGACTGGTTCTAAAAGATACCAGTGCTTATTAGAAATCTATAATAATCATGACTGGACAGACAAGTGAACCAGAGAAAAATACAGGACAGCAATAGATCCACACATAAATAGGTCCCTGATGTCTAACTGGCACCACACCAAAGATCTTTAAAAATTCAATCAGAACTTACTGATTTACTACTAAATGTAGTAAAATGAGTATACTGAATTCATTACTGCTAAATTTATGACAATTTACTAATAAATCATTCATTTCTGATTTACTTGACTAAATCAAATCTCTACTTCATACTAAACACAAAAATGACTCTAAGTGTATTAAAGAACTAAAAGTGAAAAGTGTAGCTTCAAAGCTTTTAGAAGCTATATAGAATATCTTCATGACCTCTAGGTCGAAAAAGTTTTCTTAGATAAGGCAAAAAAAAAAAAAGCATTGACTATTAAGGAAAAGTTATATAAACTAGATGATAGTAAAATTAAGGACTTCTGCTCACTAAAAGATAACATACAGTAAAAAGCCAAGCCACAGAGTGGGAGAAGAATTTTGTATCACATATAACTGTCAAAGAAGTAGTACCCAGCATTTTTTTAAAGGCAAAGGGCAAATGACCAGGCAATTCACGAAAAAGAAAATCTAAACTCAAACGGGCCAAATAAATACATAGAGACCTTGGGCCATGGGCAGTGGCTCACACCTGTACTCCTAGCACTCTGGGAGGCCCAGGCTGGTGGATCACTCAAGATCAGGAGGTCGAAACTAGCCTGAGCAAGAGCGAGATCCCGTCTCTACTAAAAATAGAAAGAAATTAATTGGCCAACTAAAATATATATAGAAAAAATGAGCTGGGCATGGTGGCGCATGCCTGTAGTCCCAGCTACTCGGGAGGCTGAGGCAGAAGGATTACTCGAGCCCAGGAGTTTGAGGTTTCTGTGAGCTAGGCTGACGCCACGGCACTCTAGCCCGGGCAATGGAGTGAGACTCTGTCTCAAAAAAAAAAAAAAAAATTACATATAGACCTCATTAGTAAGCAGAAAAATGCAAACAAAAACCACAGCAAGATACAACTGCATCTCCTCCCAGCAGACAACATTTGGCAGAAAAATGAGCAGCGTTGATAAAGTTGCTGAGCAACTAGAAATCTCAATCAGTACTGGTGGAAGTGTCTATTGGCTCAACCACTTTGAAAATCAGTTTGCCATTATCTAAGAAAGTTAAGGATGCACATACCCTAAAACTCAGCAACAGCCTCAAAAACTGAAAAATACCCAAAAGTCCACCAAAATTAGAACAAACACATTCTGATTTATTTATACAGTGGAACACTATTTGGCAATAAGAATGAATGAATTACAACTACATACAGCAACACGGATGAATGAATTGTACATACCTAATGTTGAGCAAAAGGAACATACATAAAAAAACCCCTAAAAATATGTTTTCAGCGAGGCATGCATAGCAAGGATAATCAAGGGAATGATGACCATAAAAGTTAAGGTGGTAATTACATCTGAGAGGAGAGGCATGAGAGAAAGCAGCAAATGTTATATTGGGAGCATTTTCTGCAGGAGCTAGCAATATATGTACTTTTCTGTAGTATATTGTATTTCACAATAAAATATTTCAGAAACGATAAATGCGTTATTACCAATTTAAGAGTTTTCACCAAAATAAAATATATTAATTTGGGTTTGAAGGTGAGCCTGAAACAATATTGGTCATTCAGAGGCACAACAAACTCAAGGCCATTAATTAGTAGCTTTTTTTTTTTTTTTTTTTTTTTTTTTTTTTTTTTTTAAGCATATGAGGGTCAATTTTGGAAAAAAAAAATTATGGTAGTCTCTTTCTTTTACCTTCAAAATGAAAATAAATTTAATAAGACACAAAAGACGTATTTTTAGATTCCTACTTTATTGAATGAAAAATATCAATTAAAAATATTGGTCTCATTTTTTTTAGTTATTATCTGGGCATATTTGAGAAGCAACAGCATAGAGAGCCCTTTCTAATCTCTAATTCCTTATCTTTTCATGGCCTCTATTTCCCAGCCTCCTGCATATTATAATTGTGTGGGAACTACTAGAACCATTTTTCTAAATGATGCCCAGGTGTGTGTGTATGTGTGTGTGTATTATATATATATATACATATATATATAATTATAAGCCAGATATATATATGGCTTTCTAGGTAATTCTAATGTACAGCCAAAGTTAAGAATTACTAGATCTCTTTTTGAAATTCACACGACATATCCTTTTATCCTCAAAACCATGCTAAAATGGCATGTTCACCTCAAGATGAGCAAACCATGGCTCACAGAGGCATAGTAATCTACCCAAACGTCACACATCAAATTCATGACAGAGGTAGGGCTAACGCTAGCTTATTCCATCCAATAACGTGTCTGCTCCAGCTGCCAAGTGCCTATTTGTGGGAAGATATTGAGTCAGGTGTCAAGGAGAGAGAGAAGATTTAAATGTAGCTCCCGGCTTTACTATACACCCCATGCTGAGCCTCCGCCGCCTCCCTGCCTCTCTCTGATTGGCCTGGGCCATGCAGGGGAGTTGGACATCCCAGAGTAGCCAACATGGTGGCCAGTTTCCCACCAGCTGGGAGTAGCCAATTCTAAATTCTAGGCCAGTTTTCTAAAAGGGCTGGTTTCCAGAACTCCAGCGGCTCTGATGGGCAGAGGCCCTTGACCACTGTAGGCATCTGTTCCAGTCCCTGTGTAACACTGACCACTCCCTGGGGTTTGTCCCCAACTGTCAGTCCCCAGCCGGTGTGCCTGTGGTTGCCTGTTGTACCTTAAGCACAGAGGCCTGGGGACAGTACAGGAGGCCAAGTTTGAAATGAGATCAGAGGCAGTATTGGGAAGCTAAGTGAATGCACGCAACACTGGTCCAGGCCTTTCTTGGTTCAAAACAATTATTATCTAATTTATTTCTCTAAAATTTGAATTTATAATATTGGTGTTCCCTATAAATCAATTACTTGGTTGATAACTGTTAACAGTATTAAAGGAGGTCAGGCTTGGACTCACACCTGTAATCCTAGCACTCTGGGAGGCCGAGGCGGGAGGATTGCTCAAGGTCAGGAGTTCGAAACCAGCCCGAGCATGAGTGAGACCCCATCTCTACTAAAAATAGAAAGAAATTAATTGGCTACCTAAAAATATATAGAAAAAATATAGCTGGGTACAGTGGCACATGCCTGTAGTCCCAGCTACTTGGGAGGCTGAGGCAGGAGGATTGCCTGAGCCCAGGAGTTTGAGGTTGCTGTGAGCTAGGCTGAGGCCACGGCACTCTAGCCTGGGCAACACAGTGAGACTCTGTCTCAAAAAGAAAAAAACCAAAAAGAGTACTAGAGGAAATACATTCAAAGCTAGCTTCTAAGGCAGATTCACAAGAAAGGCTCATTCTCTAGTTATCAAAATGTACTTTAATACTGGAGCAAAAACTGGGGGTGGGAGGTGAAGAAGAGCTGAGAATTATAAACTCATAAGAATATGTTGTTAAATGTTATTAGGATTAATGACCACGGCAAAGAGACTTTAAAGACATGATTTAGAATACTTTTGCAGAACTTCACCAAAAAGTAATAACGCAAATGCTTCTATTCACGTAAGAACCCAGGAAATAAAATAACCTTTATTGCGATATCCTCAGTCTCCGCGGGCCGTAGACGTCGTGTTGATTGCTCATAGCTGTCCAGGTGATATCTTCCAGGCTGCTTCCTGTTTATAGTTTTCGGCTGCCGCATCCCAAATGGAAAAGAACACAAGTTGAAGCTTTATGAGAAAACTGAGGTTTCACTCAACATTAACTCACGTTGCTACTTCTCCACTTAAATTCCAAGAAAAAGAAACGAGTAAAGCGAATTACTTTCATATTTTAATTATTTTGACAGCTTCTCCACAAAAAAGCCAACAATAAAAAAAGTTAAGCTATAATTTTAAACCTAACTCACATGCCTCATAAGAAAAATAAAAATATAATATGAAGATACAGTACTTCATATTAATATATTATATTAATTATATATAATATATTTTAATATATATAAAATAAATTATATTTATATTATGTAATATATAAAATATATATTTTATAATATAATATAAAATATAATATGAAGATACAAGAGATGGAAGTTAAAGTACTGAGTCACAAACTAGGTTTTGGGCAATCTTTCTACAGGGATATAGATGAATTTACCCAGGCGATAACACGCCATGTGTTGTGTTGTTGAAAGGTGATCAAATTAACTCAGGTCAAATTATTAATAGAATCCACTTGTCAGTCTGTCTGGCTTGTAGACATTTGAGTGCTACATTATTGATCATCCTCTGAATCATGAGGATTTTTAATTTGATACACTCACATAAATCCGATTGAGCTGCACATCACCCGAGAATTTATTGTGGATTAACAAAAGTATAAAGATTTAGAATTTTTTGCCCAAAGATGTACAGTGTTTTATATGGTGATCCACAAGCTTCATAGAATGATCTAGTCTATATCCAAGGTTATAGCGCTATTCCTAGGCAACAGATTAAAGCATCCTTTGTAAAGAGAATGCCCGCTGAGGTGTGACAGTCTTCACACACTTAAAGCGAACTTTAGTTAGGTCATAATTAGAAATCTGTCATTGTCTAATTTTTAGTTTAATTTCACCTAGAGATAAATGGCTAAAGAGAAGGTACAATATTTCCAGATTAAACCTCTAATTTGGAAAGACTTAAAAGCTCAAAATTTCTTCCAGAAACTTTAAGGAGCAAATACTCCAACATAAATAATTATCTGTCTTACTTAAATACTTTAGAGAGATTATGAAGGCTAAATAGTAATATACTTTAAAACTGTTAAGTTACCTAAAAAAACAAAGGCTTTTATAATTGTGAAACTTTTTTTTTTTCTGGCCTGCAACTGCAGGTTTAGCTTTTTGAAAAATCCACTGGGTTCTACTATGGGATTTAGGAACGTCCTCGAACAATCAGTAATTTAATCCAAACAAGATATTGCTCTTCCAATTTCCATCAACTGGTGTATCAACAGCACATCAAGCTATCAAATAGTACATTGCTAGGCTACATGCAAATAAATACACACATTAAAAAGCCACTGAGAAGATTGAAAGTAAAGTGCTAGCAGTGGTCTGTCGCATAGAAAATATTACACATAATTTCACTTAGAGAGAGGGAGGGAGCATGGGTTCATGAAATTTTATTTTAGTTTTGTTTTTTCTTCCCACATCCCTCACAGACAACCCTGGAAGTACATTGCATGAGATGTTGTGGAAAGCCACTATCGTTTAAGCTAAATATATTGTCCACACAAAACAGGTCCATACCTATATATAAAAGTCAGTCTTCTAAATTCTTTCATTCTATAGTAGTATTGCCCCCAGAGATCTAAAAGGAATGACTTCATGCCCTTCACAAAACTAAGAAGAGGGTGGGAAGAAGAGACGTGTTGACAGAGATTTGAGTCGGAGCTCCACAGATGTAATTTGAAGAGTCTTTGGCTCCAGAATGCCACTAATTCTCCATGGAGATTCTACAGCCAAAACCACTTAACTCCAAGCTTTTACAGAATACATAGTATCTTAAGCTCTCTCAAGAAGGAGTTTCCATTGGTGTTATTTTCAAACACACAGCTTTTTTCACTCCATTTAAAAAAGTTTGTCATTTGTGGTTTGGCCCATCAGCAGTGATGAATGACCCCGAAAGACATCAGAAGTCCAGCCTGGTTTCAATAACCCTGAAGATATTGGATGCATTTGAAAGGGGATTCATTTTTCCTTCCAAAAACTTTCCCTTGGTTCAGTTTTTCCTCTATCCCTCATCTCAAACAAACAAACAAAAAAAATTAGTTACATTTCCCCAACTCCATGAACTTGACCTCCTGTATCCCTTTTCCTGAGATCATCTCATTCTGTTCATCCCCACGTCTGTGAAAGATGATCAAATCAGTTCTTTCGTGGTCTAGGATCATCCAAATTATGTGACAAGGCTGGTTCTAATCAAATATTTCCCTTTCCTGCTGCCTAAAAGTATAGACACTCTCTAATGCATTTTTTGTCTTTATGTCCATGTCCACACAATGCCAAGTGAGCATTTTCAGGCATCGTTACTCAGGGTATATAAGCATGTGTGGTAGTTCCTTCTCCGATAATATCACACCTGCCCTATAAAACAACTTAGAAAGTAGAAGAGTAACTCCAGAAAAGCAGAAGAAAGCAGTAAGTCTAAATAAAGCCAATTGCTTGTCTTAACTATTGTTAGCAGGATTTTATATTATATTTAATTTTACATTAAATATAATACAAAAAATTAATATAGATTGGCTCCCTGGTAAAGGCTTTCCAAGTTCTAATCAATTCTAGTAGGAAGATTGCATGTACATTTTTGCTGGGTCACATAAATGATAAACATATTCATATTTTTATCTAATAGTAACCTGAATAACAAATTTTAAATTATAACATGATTCACTTTGGAGTAACATTTTTCTACTTTACTGTTATGAGATATACATATTAATTTGAAAGAATTTAAGAATTTTTCAGACACACCCTTCAAGAAAGTGGTATCATTCAGTCCCATGGATTTAAATGTTATCTAATGGCAAATAACTCTTACATTTACATCTCCAATGCTGATGTCTCTCCTTGGATTAAGAAGAATCTCAAAATTAGCATGTGCAAAATATACCTCTTGATTCCATCTCAACACCCATTTATTCTTTTCTCCGCCTCCCTATTTCAGTTAATGGCTACACCGTCTACCAACTGCTCAAGCCAATAACGTAGGATTCCTCCTTGAGTTCTTTTGTTTCTTCATCTCCTAATTCAATCTACTAGCAAGCTTTTATCAGCTCAACCTGAAAAATGTACACCAAATTTGATCACTTTTTCACAATGTCCACTGCAACTGCAATAAGAACTCTAATTCTAACCATTGGCATCTCTTGCCTATGTGATTATAATGACCTCTATACTGATCTACCTGTTCACTCTTTGTCCCCATTGACTTCTCTAAACAGCACCCAAAGTGGTCTTTTAAAAATATAAATGAAATTATATTAGTCCCAACTTTAAAACCTTCCAATGATTTCCTATTGCATGTTGATAAAATCCAAACTCTTTCCGTGGTCTACAAGAACCTCAATCATTGTTCTTACCCTGTCTCAACTTTCCCTTCTTCACCAGGCTCCAGGCATAGTGCCCTTGTGTTCCTTGAATACACCAATGTAATTCCTATCATCTCAAAGTCTTTGCATCTGTTAATTCTCCTGCTTGGAATTTTCTCTTCCCAGATCTTTGCAGGAAAGGTACCTGCTCTTCATTCAGGACTCAGCTCAACGCTGGCTCTTCAGAGGGCCTTCTCGGAAATGGCCACCTTGCTTCAAGTAGTCCATTCACTCTCTGATACCCTCTTTTTATTTTCTTCACACAGGGAAACTATCTTATTGTTTCAATATGTTTATAATCTGCCTCCTGCCTCAAGAAAGCAAACTCTGTGACAGGAAGGCTCTTGTGTGACTTGTTCATAGCTACACCCCTAGGTCTTGCCACAAAGTACAGAGTAGTAAGTCAGTCTAAAAACACAGACAAATACATAATAAATGGTTTATTCATATTACATATACATGACAAAATAATACTGATTATGTTTCCAGACTTTATGTAGATACTAAGTATGTATCATGGATGAATGAACTGTTCTGTAAATTACAAGGCTCTTGTTTTAATTCTCACTGGGCCACTTACTAGTCCTATGACTTTATTCAAGCCATACAACATGCAAACTCAATGTATTCAGCAGGAAAATAAAAATAAGTAATGTGATGTAATACATTAAATGGATCAAAAGACGTGATGCAACAGAAAGCATGTTTTCAACTAAAAAATATAATATGGCTAAAAGGTGTTTTAAGAATCTGGTGCAGGAGTAGTAAGCTTATTTTGTATTGTTTTTACACAAAGCTTGTGGTAAACAACATTTCAATTCCCTTTCAAGTTGAGCATTCGTTGTCCCTCTTAGAATAATTCTTTAAGGATTTATAAAGACAAGCCTTATACATTTATTTATTGATTTTAGACTTGTGAGGTTGTACAGAAGCAGGTAGCTTCTTCATAAAGGTTAAAAAATTAAGCTTATAACTTCTTCTAATTGCACCCCTATTAATCCACCCATTCTGCTGAGACTGTCCACTGCTCACAGCCTCCATAACAAGAAAAAGCACTTACAACTCCAGTGTGTTTCTTGCAGGACTCAAAAGGAAGGGAACCTTCCCCAGTTCTCCAGCTATCGTCACCAATCTCATCACTCAAGAGAAACTCATTCAGCTTTTGAACACTGCAGAAAAGCAAGCAAACAAACACAGAATAATAGTTAACAACAATAATCACATCCAACAAAGCACTACCTAAATACATTCTCCCCATTATCAGTGAATAGACTGTGAGAGTCATTTTTTCAAGACCAACTGGGACTTCAACTAGATTTGACCAAATATCCTAAATTGCTCAGGACTGAGGGGTTTCCAAGAAATGGGACTTCCAGAGCTAAAACCAGAAAATCCCAGGAAAATGAGAACTGTTGGTCACCCTAAATTCTGCAGAATTTCCTTTGCATCATCATCATTATTATTTAATAATTATATTATCTGCAATTATATTATCTGCAATTATATTCCTTGCCAAAGATAGTGGAGTAGGAATAGGAACTTGAAACAGGATGGTTAAAAATAATAATACCAATGAGGAAAGTATTCTTATTATCCTAATTTTACAAATGAGAAGGAGCGAGGTAGTTAAGTAACCTGCCTAAAATCACTGAGCATGTAACATGCAGATCTGGGGTCCCTGGCCACTGTTCTATCCTGCAGAACTATGTAGGACATGTACTTTCTGAACCTGGCAAGGAGAGGGCCCTCTAGAGTCCTGCTACTACTCAAAGTGTCAGCCAAGGACCAGCAGCACCAGTGTCAGCTGGGAACTTAGTAGAAACAAAAAAAAAAAAATCTCAGTCCCCGTCCCCAAATAGGAATCAAAAATGTGCGTGTTAATGATATCCAGAGGCGCTTCACAAGCACACTGCAGTGTGAGAGGCCCTGCTCTACAAGAGTGGTTTGCAAACATTTACTGTAGTCTTCCAGGGCTGGCCACAGGACTCCCTGGCTCATTGACCTACCCACTCTAATCTTCTCAAAGCAATATCATAGGATCTGCAGCATAAATACACAAAACAAAGAAAACGATAACATGGTTTGAAAACATCCTTTTATAAATAAGATAATACACAAAAGAAAATTCAGTTGCAAAGGGAAAGAAATGCTCCTTTTAGCTGGATGCTAGGATGCTGAAAGTGGACAAACTTGTTTGGTACATGCAGCATCAGCTACGGGGGAGATATTGCCTTTGATAGGAAACCAGAAAATATATATTTGAAATAAAAGCTTTCTTTTTTTAAAAAAAAAAAAGTTTATTTGAGCTTGTAGTCAAGTGCCTTCAGATAAGTCTGCAGAGGTTGTTTCTGTGACATGCAATCAAATGAAAAAAAAAGTAAATTTAATTCAGTCCGTTGTTCATGATCTTTAAGTGCCTTTTGGCCATGCATGCCATAGAAACTTGAAGGTAGATAAAATGGATTAGGGCAGTCTAACTATTAACTTCCAAATGACACTTACAGGGAACTAAAAGAGAGAGACTTGTTTATTAAGAGCTTCAGTTTGTACATGTTCTTTGAGTCTTTGTCAGCAAAGTCTGAAGGCATAGACTTGAAAGGCACAGTGTTAGAAATGCCTTAGGAAATAGTATTTTGCTCATCTTCAATGGCAGTTAATCCTTCTTTACTTTTACATAATAGATTGTAACTGTCATGCTGTTCCTATGTTTTGAAGACATGTTGATTTTAAGGAGCACAGCTCTATCAATCAAAGGAATGGACACCTTTCAAACCATCTCACACCATGTCTCTGCACACAAGAGAAAGCACAGAAGCCAGGCTCATTTGCTTTGGTGATTCCAATTCTAACAACACCTGGCATACATTGTTCAATGAATGGTTTTTGAGCAAATCAAAGACGGAATATACCAACAATTCAGACATTTAAGTTAAAGTTGGTTAATTCTCCATTTCACTTTTCTATCATAGACACAAATCTTATTGAAGCTTTTATGGAATGAAGGAGCCCCATTCTTGCTGAACCTGAGAAACAATGCTCCCTGAACTTAATTGCAGGTGGGGAGAACGTTCTCTTCATAGCGTTCCACTTTGAACACCAATTACGAGAAACATCAATGGACCCCAAGGCAAACCCTTCTCTGAACCTCTGTCTTCCCTTCACCTCCTACGTCTCCAATCATTCTAGGGTTTCTTGCTGGGAATCTCCCTGTAGTGCTAGTTTGTCACTGTTTTGTAACTGTTGGTTACATTTCTATCTCTCCCATTAGACGATGAACTCTTAAAGAGCAAAGGTTTTGATCTTCCGAATCTAGCCCAATGCCTAAAATATAGCATGGCAATTCCTCAAGACATGTCTGGTAAATGAATAAATGGGTAATACAAAAAGTATTTCCTGTTCCTATGAGGTCCTTTCAAAAATCACAGAGGCAAAACAATGATGGAAAAATGCACAAATCCTGACCAAGGGTGAAGTAATTTCCACCACCACACTGCCAGGGTTATATTTTTAAAATGCAAATATATTCATGCAACAGTCTTCTCTTTAAAACAACAAAGGACATCATTTGCCTTTTTGAGCCTTTAGCATCATCTAAAAGCTGATCAGGATTTTACTTTCCTGTTTCAAGCTCTGATATTTTCCATATCAGGACCTTTTCTCCAATGGCATTGAACTACTTTAGTTCCCTGAATATATCAAGATTTCTCACCTACTTATTCACCCCTTCCCCTTGCATACCTTGTTCCCTCTGATAAAACATAGTTTTCCTTTTTTCTCCAACTGGCCAAGTCTTACTTAGTTTTTAAGATGCTATAAAGGAGCCACCACCTCCTTTTAAATCTTTACTGACCAGATAGTCCTCCTTCTCTCTCAGTAAGTTTTAACGACCATCACACACAGGCTCCTGGCATTCTTTGATTACCTGTATCACACCATATTAACACACCGTACTGTAATTAGTTTCCCTTTCTGGTCTTTCCAACTAGACTATGGACTCCATGAGGATTTCTGCCCACCTTTTACCTTTGCAATTCCTAATGCCAAGCAACGTGCCTGAAGTATTAATAAACAAATGTAGAGCCACAAAAGATGCTCTGAAACATGGAGTGGATATGAGTAAAATGGTGGTAAATTAATAAAATGGAGATTTGTAAAATTCTTAAAATATTTAGGCAATGTGCTAGGTACTTTTTGTGTATTATCTCATTTAATTTTCTTCACCACCATAAACAGGTGATGTTATTGTGCCCATTTGACAAGTGAGGAAGCTGAACTATAGAGACACTAAATAATAAGTTTGATGTTTGAGGTCAACCAATGAGTACTTCATGGCAGTGCCAGGATTTGAAAACAGGAATATTTGATACCAATCAATTTGCTATCCTGACTCCACCACTTTCCTAGTTCAGTGTTTTACTAATGTCTTATTTGGTTCTTAGATTATTCACAAAAGTATTTACGATCTTAGTTATACATGTTATTTTTTTACTTCTCAAATTTCACTTTGTGTGTTTAGATATAGCTTGGACAGATGCTATATTAATTGGGAATAACTGATTTTGTTGCTGGTAGTCACATATATTTTCTATAGGAATTATGAAAGTTTGTAAACTGGAAGACAGCGACCAGGCCAAAGTTTATGTATCCTTTATGATAAATAGCAATACAACTTATTTGACTGAAGGTAATGAAGTAGGCTGGCCAAGCATGAATTCTTTTGGAAGGTACATGAGAGAAAGTACACAAAGTTATTTCTCAACAAAAGGAAAGGATTGGTTTTACACTTTTAACCCCTGGCAAACAACATCTTTGGACATAGATATTGCATTATACATCAAATACCAGAAACCTCAACTCAAATTATTTATAAAGGACGCACCATATGCTCCTCCACAAAAGCAAAACACATAAATTATTTCCTTACAAATAAAGCAAAGTGGAGAGGTGAGGCAGGTATTCTGAAAAACATCATTCATTCCAGTATTTTAATATTTTAGATAATAGTGACGTTTCATCACTCTATTGTGCAAACGTAGACAAGAACATTCATCATAAAATGTCCAAGAAAACTACAGTGGTGTGGGGGGCTGGGGGTTGTCAGGAAACAACCTGAATCATAACTGCCTCTCTCTTCCATTTTATTATGTAGACACATTATAAATGGATCCTGCCCACTGAATGCCATGAAGACAACTTTGTCTAACAAGCTAAATCTTTTTAAAGGAAAGCATAGAACTTTCCAGGAGCAGAGGATTTTACACACAGTGTGGAATTTTCCACCAGTGTAGAAGTTTACAAATATCTTCATGCACATATAACACAAGTTTCAGCCCATTCTAACCCACCAAGCTCCTGAATGTGTGGGAGTACAGTGAAAGGTTTGTGATTTTCACAGTCCTGAAGAGGAGGTTTCAAAATCAGCTGACCAAAGTCTCCGATTATAAACAGGCTGCTTAACTCACAGTGGGCCAACTGGCATCAAAGACTGGTCACAGGTTCTCAGGCACAGAAGAAAATGCCCCAAGTTCAGTCAACACCGGGAAAGCACTCATTTGAGTTTCCAGAAAACCAGAACATAGTGTGTAAGAGGACTGGCATGCTCTGTGGATCAGCCATCTCTGTAGGACCCGCAATTCAACCACTGAAACTCATTTTCAAGAAGCAAGTTTTTATAAGCAGATTCTATTTGGCCTATGGCTTGGGAAATCTGGAACCGAGCCCTGAAAGCAGACTGGTCTTTATCAAACTGGCAAATGCCTTTTCCCTGAGACGTGCAGAAAGGCAAGTGCTCTGCAGAAATATACAAGAGATACCCACCTTCCACTGCACCAGGACTTACTACCGCAGGATGGCATATTACAGACTTGAGGGACACCCCTAGATTGCTTTCATTTTTATTTTTCAAATCAACTCTTAAAGTCCTTTTGATGTTTGATAACCTTCTGATTTCAGAGGAGTGATCTATTCTAAGTTATCAGCGGCTTTCTATTTCCACTTGTAGGAGAAAGTCAAATTCTAATTAAAAGGGCAACCATGAAAGTGTAGAAAATGAAAATAAGGACCAAAATAGCAAACTCTGGCCATTTATCAATTTTATTGTTTGAAGTAGCTTCCCTTCCAGAGCACTGCCTAATTTGGAAGTGGTGCTGCAAAAAGCAGTCAGTGATCTGTACAAGTGTTTCAGAAAGCAGAACAATAAGAAAATGAGGGTGGATATGGCCAGAGGGCCTAAGCTCTAAATACTAACAGCTAAGACTTGGTTATTAATGATATGTCTTAGAGCAGTGGTCCCCAAACTTTTTGACACCAGGGACCAGTTTCATGGTAGACAATTTTTCCACAGATAAGGTTGGGGGGTCGGGGGGAGGCAGAGCTCAGATGTCCCAGTTCCTAACAGGCCATAGACTGGTACCAGTCCACGGCCCAGGGGTTGGGTACTCTAATCTTAGAGAATAAAATTAAAACTATCCTTACAGACCTTGGTTTATAATAAGATATTTATATACATTTTAATATTATTTGGTATTAAGTCATTATTAAGTCAAGGTAAACTATTGCCTAAAACTGGTATTTTAAACACTAAATACTACTTTTCTTAGCAATACATAGACATCAGGAAAACTATCTCATTTTAATAGACCTTACAAGAGATGTTCTATGTTGCAGTCAATGGCAACATCATAGTTCATACATGGGAGGGCTTAATTTTCTGATTATCCTTCACTATTGCAACATCTTGGCATTTCTTTCAAAGGCCAGATATAAAGATGATAAAGACTGTTTATGAAACTTGCTGTGGTTTTATAAGGTTTGTAAAGATCATATATCAAAAAAGCAACATACTACTTTAAGACTGCCTTGTTCATGACAGATTTGGCATGAGCTGGTATAAATAGGGTAGTTCCGCCGTTTGGTACACACTTCACTATAAGTAAAAATGGTGCAGACATGGTTCTTTTCATATGACATCTATTTTTATATTGTTTGTTTGGCTAATTATAAGTGAGACACTGGTTGAAAACACCATAGAGCATATTTAAATGAGCAAAATACTAATGGTTTACAATTCTTTCCTTTTCAGAGTTGTTGGGAGCCTGGAATTTTTTTTTTTTTTTTGCCAGACTACATAAATTAAACAGCTAAATATGTGTTGATGTGAGTCTCTGTCACTATTGGTGGAAATATTGGCACAGCTTTAGTGGAAAATTATAAATTATGGCTGTATTCAGAAAAAATCTAAAAATAGTATCCTTTGACCTACCCACCTCAGTGGGAAAGACATATTCATCAAGCGCTTAAAGATGTGCGATATTATTAGGAACTGTATTCCAAATTCTGAAATGACCTCAGGAAAATCATTAAGAGTAAAGTGCAAAGAAAAGAAAATGTGTTTACTAAATGTTCTTTATGTATGGGAGAAATGAAAACATTCTAAAATGTCCAGAAAGTAATCATTAAATATTGAAAACTTCAAACAATGGAATTTAATAGCCAGTAAATATCACGTATTATGAGATTTTAGATGGAGGAAAAATAAGAAACGTAAGTGAAATGAAGGGTGATCGAACGATAACATTTAAAGTTTATTAAAATATTATTTTTATATGAATATTAAAAGACGCAAAGTAGCATCCATATTGTAAACAATGGTGTATTTCCAGGCTTATGTTTTAATGTTCTTTTAGATACTTTTTCAAATTTACTCCCATGAGCACACGTCATTTATATAATCAATGAGCAAAGAATTCCAGATACTTCAGTGCATACCTTATGATGGCATTTGCTGGCATCTTGACCACGGTGCGAGAGCAGGAAGAGTGGGGTGACCAGGATATGGAAGAGAGACAGTGAAGCAAAGGCCTCTGCAGGTTTCAGACTGTTCCTGCTGGTATACGCATGGGCCACAAATGTCTGTGCAAAGAAAGGAGATCTTTAGAGAAAGCTGGAGAAAGTTTTATACACGCTTGCATTCAATTTTAGAAACCTAATGTATTCTGCTATGCTACTATGCCCATTGCAACTATGAAAACATGACTTCGCCAAAAACTCCCTCATTAAAACAATGGTTGCTGTTGGTGAGTACTTAGTTACATACCATGCCAGTGGTAAACTGGGGAGAAAATCAGGACAGATTTATTGATAGATTAGGAAACTGACTTCTGTCAAATTACTGAGTAGAGGGATTAATGGGGTGGAAAACCTAGAGTTTTCAACAACCTGCCAGTCTTTTTCCAACCAATATTAAATACTCCAGGAGAAAAGAGAACGCTCTCTTGTTTTAGGGTCCTTGTTGTGGACCTTTACTAAAACTGCCAGCACTGGTGTCCAATGAAGACTTGTTTACATTTCTACAGATAACTTTAATTGCTGAGTTTGTCATCTTAGTGTGAAATACAATGTAATTATTTAACATTTTCCATTTGTTGATCTAGCTGTACCCTATTGTAAGAGTACCTGGGAACCAGGTCATTGAGATTAGAACAGTTAATTCTCAAGCACTGTTAATTTTGCTCCCTAGGGGACATTTTTTGGCAATATCTGGGGATATTTTTGATTGTCGTGATAGAGGGTGCTACTGGCATCTTGGAGGTAGAAGCCAGGGATGCTGTCAAACATCCTAAAGCAGAGGACAGTCCCCTATGACAAAGTGCCCATAGTGCCATGATCGAGAAACCCTAGGTTAGAACTATTGCAATGAGGACTGCACAGAGGGAAGTCACAGAGGTGAGGTAATACATATTACTACCCACACACACTCTTGTTCATAAATCATTTATAAACACCGACTTGGTTCAATTTCTAAAAGCAAGAAAAAAACGTCTTACAGCAAGAACAGCTGCTATGGGAATTGCTGCATTCATGAAGACTGTGGAAAGAAATCAAATACGTTAGTTTCATCGACCTGTGCAAACATTTTCAGTAACCTTAATTAATCATCTATTATTACTTTAACTTTCCTTGAAGACAGAAAGGACAAAGTGTATTAAATAACATTTGTCTGGAGGCCACAAACATTTCCCAGTTGATATCTCCTACTCTGCAGTTGTCTGAGCTTCTACGTGTTAGTCTTAACCAGAACCTGTTTTACTTTATTGAAATTTTCTTTCTTATGAAATGTTACAAACAACAGAATTCAGATAAAACAATCCTTCCATTTTACAAATTATTAGAATTTAACAAATGTGCATTCTTGAGAGGGTTCACAGTCTCTATTTTGCTTAGTCCACCAAACTAATTCCAATCTACAAAAATCGGGTTATTACACAGATTTAAAACAAGAATTTGACATCACTTCAAGTTCTCTTTCCAGTACTGATATTAGTGGTCACTCACAGACCTTCCAGTTTATAAATTTACTCCAGTCCCTGAACCCTCTGTTTGCTTAAATATCTTTGCAGGAAAATACTTCACTCTCCTGTTGTGGCAGCCTGCCAGCTGAACAAGAAAACTCATATTTGAAGGTAAAATAGTGCTTTGTGGGAGTGAACAGCAAAAATTAAAAAGCCAGTGGGTGATTGTCGTCATACCGTTCAAACTAGTATAGTTTAAAGACCAAGGGACTTAAAGATAGTGAATTGTTGGTAACACAGCAGGCAATGCAGAGAGAGAGCACTTGTCTAGTTTTCTGAAGTACAGAGCCAGGATTATAAAACTCATTGTTTATGAACCATCCTCCCACTGCACACAAGAACTCAGATGTGCTTTGCAGGTCAGACGTGATAGTTTCAAGTACAAACTCTGCACATCTGCGGGAACTAACACCGATCCAAGCTTTATAATAAACAGATGGAGCCGTGTCTTGACTAGGCGTTTTCTCTGGGTATTGTCTCTTGTTATCTAATGCTTTTTTTCGTTATTCATCATTTGTGCATTCATTTATATTCGGCCTTTAAGTAACTCCACTTGAGGAGAAGAATGAAATAGCTACTGTCATTTTTTGTTTTGCTTTGTTTCTTGAGACGGAGTTCCTTTGTTGTCCAGGCTAGAGGAGCGTCGTGGCGTCAGCCTAGCTCACAGCAACCTCAAACTCCTGGGCTCAAGCACCTTCTGCTCTGTCTCCGAGTAGCTGGGACTACAGGCATGCCCACCATGCCCGGCTCATATTTTATATGTATTGTGCCATTAATTTCTTTATATTTTAGTAGAGACGGCGGTCTCGCTCTTGCTCAGGCTGGTTTCGAACTCCTGACCTTGAGCAATCCGCCCGCCTCGGCCTCCCAGAGAGCTAGGATTACAGGCGTGAGCCACCGTACCTGGCCAGCTACTGTCATTTTATTAAAAACTATATGGCACTCTGCATCAGGTACCAGCAGCAGGTGCTCTTACTACCTCAATATAAAGACAAGATGGAGTTCCAGAGACCACATGGTGGGACTCAAACCCACGCAGTCTGGCTCCTCGGTCTGTGCTTGGCACCATATTGCTCTGCTACTGCTCAACAACTCACAATTACTGAGGTATGGATGTTAGCTTTTTACATATATTCTCATATTTAATGATTACAATGACACTACATAACAATAAGGAAACCACTTAGGAAGGGTGACATGCAAGATTCTAAACAAGGAGGTGGTAGAGCTTGGGATAAAACCCAAATCTCTCTGGTCCAAAAGCTTCATGTTCTTTCTACTTCTCCATATAAAACTCTATCAAAGTGAAGAGAGAAAAGTAAAATGGTGTCTTTTTTTACTTTACTAGTGAATTAAACCCATAAACCATACATGACCATTTAATAATGGAGACTAGGAAATTGTTAATAGAATTTCTTTTCCCCTTGACTATACCTGAAGTGGCAAGAACACTGATTCATAAAAGTAGAAATGAATCTTCAGTTCTGCTGGTATTTCTTCTGTTTAACTTTGTTTTTTGGTATTTGTGGATACCACTGAGTACTTTTAGGCTTCTAAACTTTTCTAAACACTTCGCATACCTCACCTTATTTAATTCCCCAAGGAACTATGAAAACATCCCAGATGACTGATGAGGACACTTGAGGATTCACCAAGCAACTGACCAAGAGTATACAGCAGACACATTGCTGAGTCAGGATCTGATGTCAAGTTACCTTGACCTCTAGAACACAGGAGGAGCCACTATCCTATAGAGTTGAATATTTTCTTTTTCTTCCTTTTATTTTTCCTTTGGTATTGCATGGTGCTCTACAAACACTATTCGTACAATATTTTCACACTTGCTAAACAATGTCACATTCTCTGCCCCATTTGATTCTCACAACCTACCTGTATCAAAGGTATTATTACACCAATTTTTAGATGAGAAAACTAAGGGACAGAGGTTATTGAGCACTAGACTATTTGCCAGGTGGTTCATATGAAGTAATGAGTATGAAGCACTTGGCACTATGCGAGGAATAGAGTGTGCACTCAGTAAACATTTGTATCATTCATTATCTCCTTTAATCTTTACTACAATCCTACATGGGAGATATTGTCATTATTCCATGTTACAGATGAAGAAACTGAGGCTAGGAGGATACAAGTAACTTGCTCAAGGCCACACACCACTACAGAGTGGCAGAGCTGGGATTTATAGTCAGCTCTACGAAACTCACATAGTACAAGCTCTCAACTACCAACAACACGACACTGTATTTGGTCGAATCAAAACCTGATGAGGTCAAACTGATAGTTTGCTCCACTGACTCAAGAATTCCCTCTGCCAATCATGAACACATCATCATGCATTTTTACCTTTGTGACTTACTGTTCTCCACTGGTATGGCCTCTTCTCCCCTCTCTCCTGTTATAGCTGACTTCCAAAAACCAACCTAACTCTTACCTCCGGAGACAGGCAAACTGGGTTAGTTTATATCTCACCTCTGCCATTAGTAGCTGGATGGTTTGGGGTCAGTTAAAGTTACTTAAACTCTTTACACCTCCATCTTTCAATTTCTTGAGTGGAGTTAATAATAGAATCTAAGTTATTGGGCTGTTGTCAGGATTAAATGAGAGAATATATGAAAAGTCACTTATGGCAGTAATTGGCTGAGTATACTCTGAACGTATTTTGGTTGTCATTTTTGCTGTTTTGATGATTATTATTTCTGGCTGCATCATTCTCCCCATGAGAAGTTCAGCCCACTGCAAGGAAGGATGCATTGCAGGGCCCACCAGTTTAGAGTACAACTGTATAAGCAAGTAAATTTCAATCATTCTGTCTTCTAGCATTCTGACACCATATTAACAGTGGTGCACAGCTGGAAGATAAAGCTCCCTCCAATTCCATTTCTAATGCCATCAAGCATTAGGGCTAGAATAAATGAGCTATATAGCCATATATTTTCTCTGAGTCTGTTTCACAAAAGAAGTGTTTTAATCTCTAAAATCGAAAGCACTCTATAATTCAAGAGGAAACGGCATTTAAACTTCAAAACTAAGTTGTTAAAGGTCTTAGGAATGATAGCAATCAGCACAACTAATACACAAATCAAATCAAATATTAGTGGGAATAGTCCGGCTAAGTTTGTGTGAATTGCATTAATACTGAGAGGAACCCACTATTCTCGAGAGTACTCAGAGTTTACACTTTGAGAAAAGAAAATAATATTTTTGAAATAATTTCTTTTTAAAAATTAGAGTTCATTACAAAAAAGCTAATATATTTAAAAATCCTTGAAAATATATTGGGAAAAAGGATGGTCTGTGAATGTAATTTGGCTTCTTTCACCTGGAAATGATATTTTTTTTCCTCTTCTATTTTCAGAAATGGCTCTATTTTCCTTACAATCTTCGAGAAAATATTATATCCTAAGCTCTCAAAGAGACAGGTTAAAAAAAACCTGCAAATAATATTAAAGGATCTTTAGGGAAAAGAAGACCAATAGTCATGCAGTCAAATCAATTTCAATAACCAAATTTTTACTGAAAATCTAATATCCATCCCAATTATAACTAAGAAGGTTTTATTTATATGTACTGTTATCATCATCATCCTCATTTCACAGATAAAGTAGCCTAGGATTTGAGTTTGTAAAGTAACATGGCAAAGGGTATACTACTTGTAAGAAATCAAACCCAGATCTATTCAACTCTACACCAGTGCTTACTCTGGTCTTTAATTTAAACGTCAATAGATAGCATCATGTGGCTAGTGGCTACTGGATAGCATATGTCTACAAAATAAACGGGCTCCCTTTAATGACTAGAATGTCTCACTGATCACAATCTCAACTGAATAGACCATGAGTTTTGTTGGTTACTGTGTTATATAACATCACCTGTTCTTAGAGCAACAACAACTTACTGGAGAGTGATGTATAAAGTGCAAAGGTTTTGAGACTAGACAGCTCTTTCATTCTTGTTTCCTCCACACTTTTGCAGAAAATGTGCTCCCAGGCATACAACTTTAGAAGTTTGATGCCTTTCAGTATTTCATTTGTTTTCTTCAGCCTCTCAGTGGAATAATCCTATAAAACAAAGGAATAAAAAATAATGCAAGCTGCATCCAAGTGAATCACAAAGGCAGGACCATGCGACGGGAAGGGATTGAGGAGATCTTGATTCCTGATTGGCTCTGCCACTAATTAGGCTGTGAAATTCCCAGAAGAAATAGTTAAACTCTCTGTGCTTCAGTCTCCTCAACTTTAAAGTGAAGGGTATAATCAGATGACCTCAAAATTTCTTTCTACAGCAGTTTCTTCAGTTTCACATGGTTTCCTTAAATAATGTCTGCAGATAATATAAACATAAACTTAAGGAAAAAATAAGGAGACTTATAATGGCTTCTAACATCTAAATTATTTTATTCTTCTCTCAACACTATCACTCATACTTAGAAGAAAAACAATGAATTTAAGGAAAGTCAGTTTGCTTCTTATTTGGGAATGTAAGGGTAGAGTGTTGTGTGCATTCACATTGCATCTTCATAGTATAGCTATTGAAAGCAAGCCTATTCTCTTTAACTTGAGATTTCCTCATACCTCCTTGTAAGCTCTTGTTTAAGGCCTAAATTAGATTTACTAACAACTTGGATTAATTGTAGAGAGATTTGTAGCAGATAGAAAAGTCTCAATTTAGTCAACTATTTTAGTTTCCTCCACCAACAAATATTATACTAGATTTGCTAGCAAGGTGCAGTATGATCTATTAAGTAACAAAAGGGGCAGTAGAGTGGTCAAAAGACAGGAGAAAGTGAAAGTAGCAAATGACTTGATTTGCATTCATCTTCTCATCTCTACAGGGTTTTAAGTGCCTACAAAGTCCAATGAGTGAATGAATATAGTATGAACAGCTAAATGAAAGACAGATATTTGGGGATAGTCATATCTCTCCTTACACTCCTCTTCCACACCTTTCTATATTTGTGTGCTGGAGTAAAAAGGGTAGATGACTCAGACCTGACCAGAAGCAGCAGAAAAACAAGTCATAATAAGCCACTTGCATGACATGCAATTCACTTGTCACAGTGGAAACACCAACTTGAGAAACAATTCCATCAGTGGCAGCGTCTCTACATTTTATGCCTGATTTACAGACAACCTTGCCCATATTTAATCAAACTTTATTTCTAAGCATGCTGTCAACAATTTTATTATTTGCAAACATTTCTCTAAAAGAAGTCAATCCTTGCTCAAATAAAATGATTTCATGGCAAACTGAAGCCAGAAAGGGTCAATAATTGAGCTTATTCTCGTTGCCAAGTTGACCAGGAACATACTCAGCCAGAGCAGCTGCCACTGAAAACATTTCAGTGTAACTCCATAGATCCTCAACGGGTTTCAGAATACCCTAGGGAAACTTAATTTCACAACCAGCAAACCTAACCCTTCACTTTTCCCTTGATCAATTTCTTCAATGTCAATAGCTGACATCCAATAGTCTCAAAGTAACCTTAAGAAGATTCTTTAGACAAGTGATCTAAGATAAAGATCCAAAACCTCATCTCCTCAAGGCACTTTAAATCATCAGGAATTGTGATTCTAGTATTTTGAGTCTATGATCAAGTCTTAAATCTCCAATCCACTTTTTTTTTCTTTTTTTTTACTCCTGTATTAGAAAGTTGTTTTTTTTTTTATTTCGGCATTTTATGGGGGTACAGATTTTAAGGTTTCAATAAATGCCCATTTCCCCCCCTCCCCCCAAAAGTCTGAGTCTCCATCATGACCATCCCCCAGATGGTGCACATCTCACTCATTATGTATGTATATACCCGCCCCCCTCCCCCCTCCCACCTGCCCAATACCCTATTACTGTAGTACCTATGTGTCCTCTTAGGTGCTACTCAGTTAATACCAGTTTGCTGGAGAATATATCTGGTGCTTGTTTTTCCATTCTTGGGATACTTCACTTAGTAGTATGGGTTCCAGCTCTAACCAGGAAAATATAAGATGTGCTATATCACCATTGTTTCTTAGAGCTGAATAGTACTCCATGGTATACATATACCACATTTTATTAATCAATTCTTGGTCCAATCCACTTTTAAAAATTGCTTTGCAACCTAGTAAGTACACATTTGTGGCCTAAGAATTGAAATGAAATACAATGATTTCCAAGTTATCCTGAGTGGTAAGTATTAATTTCCTAGATTATCAAAAATAAAACAGCATTACCAGATTTCTCTAGTAAAATTTCCAAAAGATGTTACTTACAAGTGTGCTCTTCTGAGCCTCTGCCAACTTCGTAGCAATGAAATACTGAATTGGCGCAAGCAGCACAATGACAGCTGCACCAACCAGTGCGCTTAATCCAAGTAAATTATAGAGCAGGATCACTCCCATTATGATCTAAGGGGAAAAAACACATGGAAATGAATGGGAATGTGGGAGCCATTACATGAAAGGAAATAATTTTTAGTGAAAATGTGTAGTATTTCTTCATTACTGTATTAAGCTTATTTGGAAGTCAACTCAGCTGTGACAGTTGGGTTTTACGATGGATGATTTGTTTGGGAAAGGCTAAGTATGAGGAATGTATTTTTAGTCTGATGGCCTATACAACTGGTGTCAACTCAATTTATTGCATGAAGTTGCAGAGCGGGTCCCATGACGTTTGCAACCTTCTAAAGCAGTCTTCAAGTTTTGAAAAGGGCATAAAATTGTTCTTGAATGTGCTGTCATCCACCATAAATTTGACATTGCATATTCTCTTGGAACTGTACTAGCTTTTCAAGGATGAGAAGATGGAAAGTAGAGAACAGCATCGTAATGTGAGTACAGGATGGTTGTCTGTGACCAAAGAAAAGACCTGAGCTCCTCACCTCCTTAATGAGGCCAGAAGTCACTTAAGGACAAGAAGACTGAGCCTACCCAACCAAGACTGTTAAAAAGCTAAAGTTGGTGCCCCAGAGTAACACACTCCTCTTTTTAAATTTATTTCCCAAAACCCAGAGCTGAACCATTTAGGCTTACCCTCTCTGGCTTGCTGCTTTCTTCTTCTCCCTTTAAAAACTCAAGATTGAACCCTGCTATGTATCCTCTCTCCTTGAAAAAACATTTTTTCCAAGACCTCCATTTATCATGGTTCAAAATGTCAATTAATGAACTATATCCATGCAGTTCAAGCATATAATTTATGCCCATGTACCAATGATAACAGCTTAATAGCAGCATTCCAGGGGCAACGACACATGTTTACTGTCCAACTAATTAGGTACTTTGGGAATTCCAATGAAAACAAAAAATTCATTAAGGTCACCCATGATGCAGTCATTCAGTCACTTTTTTTTTTACATACTTTAAATTGCACTACATAAGCAGCTACTTAATTTACCTACGTATAAGTACATTTTGATAAAATAAGACAAAGCATATAGTAAATCCTACTTTGTGCCAAGCACTGTGCATGATATACACTTTTATTTGACTTGGCTTTCCATTACAAAATGAAAAGGCAAACAAATTAAAAACTAGCATATCTTCTTCATTATTTTATGCACTTTAATAAATGTGGTATACAGAGACATAGGTGATAGATAGCATCAAATGAGCTCTATAGTTTAAGCTCCATCCGTAGGATGCAGAATTTGAGCTAATTAAAAATGTCCAGCTTCACAGCAAGGAAAAAATGAATTCATTTCTTTTGCCATTTTTACCCAACGAGAGGGGAAAACACGTATCTTTCCTATAATGCTATTTTACATAGGAAATAGCTAAATAGCCCTCCAGTTTGTCAGTATTCCTACCACCTTATAAAGTTTGACATTTTGCAATATACTAGCTATGGAAACTATGGAATGGATTAAAACAATTGCTCTAGTTTAGAAATACCATAAGAGAGCTTGTCAAAATGAAAGGGGTCAAACTGTGGCTTTGTGACTTACATGAATTAAGGCAATAATACTAATAACTATTGATAACAATTACCAAGTGCCCATGAAATGTTAGGCATTATGCTAGACGCTATACACATATTAACTTATTTCATCATGGCAATTCCCACAACTCTACGAGGTAGATACTATTATTATTCCCGTTTGACAGTTAAGGAAACTAATGTTTTGAGGAGGTAAGCACTTGTGCAAATGAGAGATAGGGCAGATCTTTGAACCCAAGCAGTATAATTTCAAACTTCATTCTCTTAACCTATGGTATAACATTTCTGAGCCTCAGCTTCCTTATCTTTGAAAGGGGTATGATAATATTACATATGCAAAAGGTATACCCTTAACTAAGTATCCTACTGCTCTTTTTTGTTTCATTTCCTCTACAAATGAGAATCTTACTTATATTGATCTACCTGAACAGGCATAGCCCATAGATTGGGACACAGGAACAAAAACCACATGAGTTGATTGGTTTCAATGGCGACCAAGTTGTTGATCTGTCCCAGGGTCATCTCACCCATGGATAAGTTAGATGTAGAAAGCCTAAGGATTTTGTTGTATATCATGGCCTGCAAGGAAATAACAACAAAAAAGAATGTACTTAAAGTTTTAAACTTAAAATTGACGCTACAGTTATTTATTTTCATTGAAAAAAATAGCAAATTCTTTTCAAAAAAAAAGAAAAGAAAACCACTATAAAGCCATCTTCTTACATCCGCCAGTACGGGTATCTCCATTGTAGTATAATTACTCTGAGTCCTCAACTAAATACAAACCTATTTTTTCTGGTGATATAATCAAAACATACATTCAGCTTTAAACATAAGCTCTTAGGCCAGGCGTGGTGGCTCATGCCTGTAATCCTAGCACTCTGGGAGGCGGAGGTGGGCGGATTGTTTGAGCTCAGGAGTTCAAGACCAGCCTGAGCAAGAGCGAGACCCGTCTCTACTAAAAATAGAAATTAATTGGCCAACTAAAAAACAATATATATAAAATTAGCCAGGCATGGTGGCGCATGCCTGTAGTCCTAGCTACTCAGGAGGCTGAAGCAGAAGGATTGCTTGAGCCCAGGAGTTTGAGGTTGCTGTGAGCTAGGCTGACGCCACGGCACTCTAGCCTGGGAAACAGAGTGAGACTTTGTCTCAAAAAAAAGCTCTAGAACAAACAGAAATAAAGATAAGGAAAAATATTTTTCTTTTTTTTTTTTTTAGTAGAGACAGGGTCTCGTTCTTTGCTCAGGCTGGTCTCAAACTCCTGAGCTCAAAGGAATCACCGGCCTCAGCCTCCCAGAGCAAAATATTTTTCTTAATAGTATTTTAAGTTATTTTTAATTCAATGAGTTTATTAATTAGTTCTGTATTTCTTTTTGTTACATAGATCCTGGAAATGGTGTTATAATATCAAAGTAAAAATGGAAAGAAAAAACAAAACTGAAGTTACTACTATTTCTATAACTGGATGGTATATAGCATTTTCAGAAAACAATGATCATTCAAGGCCTTTACGTACCAGCAGAGCTCCACGGAGGTTAATGCCAGTCTCTATGGTTACATAGTAGGAAGCCTGCAAAAATGTCCTTTGCAGAATGAGCGCCAAGAAGAGAAGAACTGCTAGAACATAAGCATTTTCAAGAAATTCCTTTGATGAGAGGGTCTCTGAAATCTTGTCCCAAAAGAAAAGAAAAAGGCACATTAAAACTAATCTTTTCATATACCAGGTATACAGTTTGCATTTATTAAAGGATACATGAGTTTTAAACATAAAAACTCAATGTCTTTACAATACAGTAGTGCAGTAAGTCCAGCAAAGCAATTTTTCTTGCCCTCGTAATGTCCACAGATACAAATACAAACAAGTTCAATGCATAAAATCCCCAACTGATAAATAAAATTGCTACAAATAACTAATTGCAAAAAACAGGTAAATTTTAATTTTTAAAAATTTGAGTACATTTCCTGTAAAGGAATATTCTACTTTAGTTAAGTAGTTTAAAAAGTATGAAGTAGTAAAAACATTAGAAGTTAATTTAGACTCTAATGTAGAAGTAGAAACCACAAACTGATAAATGGTCAACAAGACCAGTGGGACAAAAATATAAATTCCGCAGCCTTAGTAGGTTAAAATAATTCTACATAATTGACTTTTTCTGATTTTCATGTATCTTAATTTATATTAATGCAATGCATTATAAATTATAACATCAGTAATTTGGCTACCAATTTTTGCAGTAACAAAACACAACTCATGAAATATTTTAGTAAGAATATGACTGAATTTAGCCAAAGTTGGTCAATTTTTGTTCGTAATAATAGCATATGACAACTTGTTAAAAGAGAAGGAAAGATAACATTTGACTAAGTACATTATATTAACTTTGACACTCCTCGTTTTTTATGATTTAGACCTAGTAAAATTCTACTTCTGGTCCCTTCCCCTTCTATCACGGTAATATATACAAATGTACAAGTCCTGCTTCTTCTCAGAAAAACAACTGGTTAATACATGTAAGGGAGAAGCATAATGGAAGCATCTTATGTGGAATTTAAATATCTGTATGTCATTAGGCCAGTGGGGACATAACATGACAAAAGTGTAGTCAATGGTGAAAATATCTGGTTCACTCCAATAGTAATTGAACACTAATGTAGGCTATGCATTGTGAGCACAGATATGGAACGTCCACTGTAATTCTGCTTAATGAGCTTACAACCTAGAAAGATAAGCAGATCCACAAATAATATGCTTCATTATATATAGTATATATACAGTGTGTATATATATATTATATATATACACACTATATAAACTATTATATATAACAGAATTATATATAAAAAAATATATAGTATAGTATATATAGTGCATATATATACACTATGCACAGTATATACAGTATATATATACACACACAGTATATACAGTATATATAGTAAATGCCAATGTGAAGCAAAGAGTATGTTAAAGTATTACCAAGGAAAGTCAAATTTCAACTAGGACTATCAGAAAAAAACCTCGCTACAGAAGTAGCTTTACTATAAGCTCTCGCGATGTGCAACACTTTAATTGGTGAATAAAAGAGGACAGGGAATCAGATTAAGAGACTAGAAAAGGAAAATTGATTCATCTGGGCTAGAGTTTCTATGTGTGAAATTAGGAAATCAATTCTTAGAAAGAAACCACAACATTCACAGTGCAGGCTTTCTTAAGTAGATTAAATAAGATTATATATATAACAGTAAATGTATAGTATTTCATACTGTATAGCCCCAGAGAATAGCATAATGTCTAATTTAAAATATCATGATGTGACTTGTCCTGGTCATTGTGAAACAGGGCAATGGCTTTTATTTCATAAGAAGAAAAATGTACAATATTACAAATCGAGTTGCTAATATTATGTCACAGGCCTCTAAAAAAGTGACTCAGCCATTCCTCATGTACTCCTACAGGAAAATTCTTTAAAGGATTGCTATAAAGATCAAATAAAACCATCAATGTGAAATTTCTGCACACATAATTGTTTCTGGCACACAGTAGATGCTTATTAAATGTTTATAGGCTCTGAATCTGAGAAATAATTTTTTTTGGCCAGATTCATTCAATGAATACATAAACACGTGATTTTCTCTACGAGGAAAATTACTGCTTTCCTTCTTTTAAAAAGCAGTAACAGAGAACAGAATCTGTTCCTGTTCTCTGTAAATAAGCCTGTTTGGAACTACTCATAAAACCAAATTAATAAAAAGTGACAATTACAATGAAAACTATCAATAATATGTTTCCTTTCGAAAACACCGCAAACTTACTCCAGTTGTGTTACTTGTCCCATTCTGGGTTTCATTCACACGCTGAACTATTCCAGAAATACAGAGAGGTCCAGCAAAACCCAGTAAGTCAGCCAGATAACGGAATGTGCTGCTAAGCAGGATTGGTCGCCCAAAGGCACTGTACATTGCAAGCCAGATGGATGGAGTCCGATTTGGATGATCGGCTACTTTTTTCTGAAAGAAAAAAAACCAGATAGAACAAAATAAAATCGCTTCGAGCAGCCACTGCTCTCAGCAACTATGGAAATTCCTTCCGACAGTTCTGAAAATATCTTAAAAGTTTAAAGACAGATGTTCATGAGTCCCCTTCAGTGTAGTGTGCACGGTGCTGTATGCTTGTATTCCATGCAAATAGCAGCTATGGAATAGGTTTTAATGAAACAGAGAGAATAACTAAGAAGGACAGTTCTTCTAAGACTCTGTATTATTTCTAGTAGTCAAATGAATGACACGAAATTCCTAAAGCCAAATTCATTTCTAATTCCCTCTCATTGGAAAATGTGTATCTGTCATGAAAATTACCAAGTAATGTTGTATAGAGAAGAAGATAATAAAGGACAAATATCGAGGTTATTGGCCAACTTGGTTAAGATTTCTGGAGGTACTAGATCACAAGGTATTTGCTATCAGATTACTACAAACCGAACGAAATAGATCATCCCAACCTCAAGTTGTTTCTACTCCAGGTATTTCTCATCTCCGTGAATAGTGGTCAATACTTTTTAAAATTAGGATAGATTTGTGTTTCCTATGTGCTATGATTTTGGATATGTGACCCTTCAAAAAACTCATGCTGAAATTTGATGCCCAATGTTGGAGGTGGGGCCCAATGGGAAGTGTTTGGGTTGTTGGGGGTGGATTCCTCATAAATAGATTAATGGCCTTTTTGGGGGGTGAGTTCTTACTCTATTAGTTTCTGTTTGAGCTGGTTGATAAAAAGATCGTAGCACCTTCCTCCTCTCTCTTGCTTCCTCATGCTCTCTGCATGTTCAAGCTACCCCTCCCCTTCTGCCATGAGTAGTAGAAACAGCCCGAAGCCGTCACCAGGTGCAGATGCCCAATATTGAACTTTCCAGCCATCAGAACCATGAGCCAAAAGGAATTTCTTTCTTTAAAATTACCTAGATTCAGGTATTCCTTTATAGCAATATGTGATGGACTAAGACACCAGGTATTCCTCAAGAAATGCAAAATGAAGACTGGCATCTATGCTTGAGTCAACTTGTGGCTTCACACATTTACACTTGTTTGTGGTAAAGATTTTAAGACCCGAACAATCATCGTAATTAAGACTAGGGAAGGAGGCGGATAAAGTTTTTTCACTGTGGCAAAGAAGCCAACTCAATGGAGTAGAGTTCAATTGCGTTTCATATGCAATCCCCTGCTAGAATGATCTGAGTGTTTTTTACAGTTTATTAATATGACATACACACACCAAGTGCAAGCTAATCTCTGTTGTAAGGAGCACTCAGAAAACTTAAGCTACGCTTAGGCTGTATTGCAAATCCTTAGCAGAGAAAACCAAAAAGTTTTATGCAATACTTTTCCCAGAGGTAAAACCAGAGAAATGACTCAGGTTCATTTGTAGTAACCATTTCCTGCCATATTAATTTCATAACACACATTTCTGACACAAAACAGAGGTCATTTTCATCATTTACCATAAATGCTTTGTTGACCTTGATTTAGAACAGCCAAAAACTCTTTAACTGATTCACCATACGCTACTCCTTTCCAGTGTTGTCCAGAATACTAGTATTTTAAATGACACTGAATTTGTAGATGATTGCAATAGAAAACACATCTACCACTGTAGATAGCACGCATGACTAGTTAGAATGATAAAAGACAAAATAAAAATAACCAAAAACTTTCATATTTAATTTTTAAAGAAACTACTAATATTTATTAATAAAAAAATGTGGAAACCAGAGGAAACCAATTCTAGCAGACATATAGGATGATACAATGTAATAGGTAGACAGTGCCCCTTTAATTTAGTTTCCCAAGTTTGAACCACAGAATCCAAATTTTAGTAAATAATTAACAAAAGGCTTTTAATTTCTTAAAAGTGGTTATTACTAAATATGATCTATTTTACGTAACAAAATTATTCACAAGATGCTTTGGAAAAAGATTTCATAACAAAAATTCTATGAATTAATAATATTCTATGGTAACATGGATTAGTTACACGTGAGCATTGAACTTAATTCTTACTTTCCACTGGTCACATGTCACGAAGAAAAGACAGTTTCCTATCTTTCCTCATGTATCGACTGGGCAACTAACACAACGTAACTATACTTCATTGGCTCTTCCAGTCTTTCTTCAGTGGCCCAATTAACACGACTCAAAACTACAAGGGAAGGCAGGGAAAATTTGCTCTTCCTTAACCCTAGATAGTATTTATTTAAGCCTTGTGTCTATTATAGTTAATAAGTTCATTTTCTACAATTAAGGACATGGAAGACAAATACTAAATTACCTTTTGTTCTTCATATGCATCTTTCAGGCACACATAATTTGTTACCGCCCTCATTGCTATTGGCAACTTTCCAATCGCCTTCAGATCAATAGGCTTTTTATGAGCAGATATGATAAGTGTGTTCATCCACCAGTATGTTGCTTTTGACAGTAAATTCACAAATGGCTGAAGAAATCTCACTCCCAGATCCTGGAGGTCTTCTGGAGGCTTTACTTTCTGAGGATTCGTGAAGAATACATATCTCTATCACAAAAAATAAATAAAATAAAATTCCACAATGTAACAATTAGCTCAATTCTTTTTCTACGTGTTAAAAATAAAATTTCAACCTTTTCCACATTTTCATTTCAGATGACCAAAATTTATATTTTAATGCCTCTTTCTATCTCTTTCTGAAATATTCTCTGAAATATTTCCCTTCTGTTGTGACTGGATTATTAATAACCAGTTAAATGCCAGAATTTCTCATTTAATCCTCTTGGGGCCAATTCCAAAAAATCAGTTAGCCTTTTAACAGATAGTTAATACTAAGAACCAGTCTTTCATGATATCCTGGGATAAAGTGAACTAAATTAAGATTTTGAAATTGTTTAGATTTTAAAATATGTTATCAACACCATTGTTGGGTCACTCTGTGGACCTGTGGTTTAACTGACTCCTCTCCGTACATTAACCAGTTAACCAGTGTTAACTGACTCCTCTCCGTACATTCATGACAGCATATATCTTTCCACTCATAGAGCAACTTCGAAGTTCTCTGATAGAAAATGAATATTGAAAAATCCATCTCTAGTATCTCACACAACACAACTAACAATGTTATGTGGTGGAAAGCACAATAGATTTGTAATTACAGACCAGGTATGGGTCTTGATGGTATTACTTTGAGTATATAGCTAAAATGATCTCTATAAAAGTTTCTTCATCAGTGAAATAAGCAAACTGGATCAGATTATCTTCTTTTCGGTTCTAAATTTCTGGGACTGCAGTATTTTGCTTAACCCAGGTGTGCTTTGGACCAGTCACGGATGATGGAACTTCCTGCCGAAAACAATTTTTTTTCTGTAATATGAAGTGAACATGATGCTTGGCATACAGCAAGCACTCAATCAATCATTATCCGTGAATGACTAAATAGACTCTAGGTTATACTGAGATGGCCTGAGCTTATAGCAATTAGTTCAACTTTACACATATAGATCAGATACATTTTTCATAATTTAAATACTGAAGATTTCTGGCTAGCCATAATCTTTAATGTTGGGGTCTTGAATCCAAATAACGAAACAAAAATCATTAGACACCTACTCTGACGCGAATGACGTTGATCTCCACAGCCATCAGGAGCCCATTCAAGATGACCATTATGCCTGTGATGCAGAAACGCAGATCTGATATGTCCCAACCAGACTGCCAGTCCTTCACCAACTTTATTGTTTTTGTAATAAAGGCCATTACCCAATACAGGAATAAGGCTGAAAACATAAAAGAAAAAACAAAAAAAGATACACTCTTTTCCTGATTTTTTTTTCAGACTATACTAACATTTCAGCATCAATATAATGCTTTTTAATAACAAAGGCAATTTTAAATACTCTATTTGTATTTAATAAGAAAACAACATATATGTTTTCTTGTGCTTCTGGAGATTTGAATAGGAGGTATGATAATAACTTTGGAATGCTGAATGTTTCCACTCTGATTACATGGGATAGTTGGGAAGATGTAAGGAGACACATAAATAGGGGTAATCTAGACTCTTCAAAATGTATGTGTAATTCTGTAAATTTAAAAAGTGGCTTTATCTTCTGGCCTTGCTTTCTAAGTGCCCTGATTATGTGAGTAATTTGCAAGTTGGTATCTTTGTAACCAATCTATTAGGTGTTTTGCATCTCCCAGGGGTATGTATAACTGGTATTACCCTGAAATTACCATGAAACTCATGCAACTATGTAATACGGTTTCTGTTTCACAGATCATCATTCAAGTAGTAAGTGACTTTTCTTATCCAAATGATTTAAAACACCACGCTCATCCACAGAGCACAGAGAACAGTGATCTTACAGAGCAAACCCAGATCTCAAATAGGCCAGAAAGGCAGACAGATATCACAGTCTTAAAAAAAATGACCAGCATTTCACAGCAAATATGAGAAGGAGGCAGAGACTTTTCTTAGAAATCTGTTGGCAAGGATTCAGTCTACTTTGAACTTTGAATAGAGGTTGGTACAAATGAATATGGTATAAAAGAGAAGAACTCTAAAGCACATATAAGACAATCCAGTTTGGACAACACTTACCAGAGCTAGAAAGGTTAAGGGAGATTACAACCTCCTTGGAGAAAAATAACTGTGCATTGGCACATGAACTAAATGTATATCTTGTTTTAGCTTAAAATACAGAGATGGTCAGAATGGATTTAGAAAAAAAAAAAGATCAAATTTTATGCTACCTAAAGATATTCCCCTTAAATACTAGAAAGTGTAGATTAAATATAAGTGGGTGGTAAAGATATACAATGAAAACAATAAGTATAAGAAACCTGGAGTGGTTATATTTATATCAAACAAAGTAGACTTCAAGACAAAGAATATTATCAGAAATAAAAAAAGACTTAACAATAAAAGGGTCAATTTTTCAGAAAGACAAACAATCAAAACTATGCATATGGCTAATGAAGACTTAAAAGATCTGAACACTATCAATTACCTCATAGCATTTGATATTTATAAAACAATTTGATATTTAGTGCAAATATCAGGTACACACACATCTTCAGAATATATATTCTTGTTAACTGCGTATGGTACTAGTAGAGACTCCATGTTCACTCGGAAAACAAAGAGCAATAAATTTAAAATAACAAAAATCATATGGAGTATGTTCTCTGATCACAATAAAATAAAATTAAATAATCAAGAACAATAAGCTTATTTTTTTCTATTGCTGCTTAAGAAATCATTACAAATTTAGCAGCTTAAAACAGCATATGCTAATTATCTCACAGTTTCCAAGGTTCAGTAGTCTGAACATAGGCCCACTGGATTCTCTACTCCAGGGTCTCCCTCAGCTGCAATCCAATTGTTGATGGGGGCTACAATCTCAACAAAGACTCAGCTGATTTGAGACCTTACTCCAGGCCACACTTTATTATTGGCTAGACACAAGGCACAGGTCTCACTCTCAGTCATGGGGGCAAAATCATACAGGGTATGAACACCAGGCACAGAGATAATGGAGATAATCTTTGGGTCTTTCAGTACAATATGATATCCAGAAGTCCCCAGATATTTCAAAATTAAACAACACATTTCTAATAATCCACCTGTTAAAGAAGAAATCACTAGGGAGATTAGACAATATTTTGCCTAAATTATAACGAAAATGCTACACATTTGAAATGTAAGGAGTACAACTAAAATAAGATTTAGAGGAAAGTTTATAGCTTTAGACATTCATTTTAGGAAAAGAGGTCCAAAATAAATTACCTGCGTTTCCATTTTAAAAACCAGGGAAAGAAGAACAAAGAACAGCAACAAAAGTAAATAGATAAATGGTGAAAACAATAGAGATAAGAGTAGGAAAAAATAAAATAGAAAATGAACACTTGATAAAATGAACAAACTCAATAGGCTGACTAAGCAAAGATTAAGAAAATTGATAGATTACCTAGATAGATGGAACAAGAAAAGAAGAACACAAATTACTAATACTGAGAAAGAACAAGGAGCTATTCCTACAAAGCCTACATACTTTAAAAGGATAATCAGGGAATATCATGAACAACTTAATGACAATATATCTTAAAATGTACACGAAATAAAAAATTGTTTGAAAACTGAAACTTACCAAAACTAACATAAGAAGAAATAGATATTCTAAAGAGTCTATACCTAATATAGAAATAAATTCATACTTTAAAACCCTTCCTTAGTTAAAATTCCAGGCCCATATGACTTCACTGGTGAATTCTATTCAACATTTAAAGAAAAAGTAAAATTAATCTTACACAAAGTTTTTCAGAAAACAGAGAAAGAAAGAACACTTTCCCATTCATTTTATGAAGCCAATTTAACCCAGCATATGAAAATTTGACAAATACATTACAAGAAAATAACAGACCAATATCCCTCACCACATAGATATAAAAAGCCTTAACAAGTAAAATTTAGTCATATCTAACATACATATCATGACTATGTGTGGTTTATCAAAGTAATGCATTGTTACCTTATTTGAAAAACAATTGATGAAATTTAGCACATTAACAGAAATATACTTTTTCCAATGGGTGCAGGAAACACTTTAATAAAATTCAGCACCTATTCATGATTTTAAAAAACATTCTAAGAAACCTTTAAATGGAAGAAAACTCAGCAGATAAAGGTATTCTATGAAAAACCTGTAATTAACAGCATAATTACTTATAAAAGACTGACCATTTGTCTCCTAAAATTTGTAACCAGACAGGATTTCACTTTTATCATGACTATTTGGCATTTTACTGGAGGTCCTAGCTAGGGCAATAAGACAAGGAAAAAAAAAAAAAACGAAAACATTATAAAGGCCGAAAAGAAATAAGTGACTCTATTTGCAGACAGCATGTTCATTTATACAGAAAATCCCTTGAAACCTGCAAACCAATAACTAGAAGTAGTAGGTGAATCTCCAAGGTTACAAGATACAAGGTCAATATACAAAATCAATTGTGTTTTATACACAGCAGAAACAATCGAAAAATGAAATTTGAAATACAATTCCATTTACAATAGCAGAAAGAAAACAAACACAAAAAATACTTTGCAATCAATTTAACAAGACATGCAATACCTCTACACTGAAAACTATAAGACATTGCTAAGGGAAAGAAAAGAAGACTTATATAAATGAAGAATGGATTGTGATATTCAGTATTGCTAAGATGCCAATCCTATCCCAAATTGTTCTATACATTCAATGCAATCCCCATAATAATCCCACCAGGATTTATTTGTTATAGAAATTGTAAAGCTGATTCTAAACTGTATATAGAAATGCAAAGGAACTAGAATATCCAAAGCAATCTTGGAAGAAAAAGGAAAAAGTTGTGTGATTTATGATTCATGAGTTCAAGACCTCCAAAGCTATCATGATCAAGAAAAAATGGTAGTGGTATGAAAATCCATGAATAGATCAAAGAAACAGAAAAGAGAGCCAAGAAATAGATCACTCTTAAATAGTTATTTGATTTAATTTTTTTACAGAAGTACCAAAGCAATCTGATGGGAAACAGAAAGTCTATGCCACACATGTTGCTGAGACATGTTGATATCCACTTGGGAAAAAAAGAACTTTGACACTGACCTTAAACCATATACACAATTAATTTAAAATGGATGAGAGTCCTAAAAATAAAAACTGAAACTATAAAGCATCTAAAAGCAAACAGGAGAATAGGACAGGAACGTATTTGGAGGGAAAGCAAAGATGTCATAAGACCCAGAAATTAATAACTGAGTACAAGAAGAAATAATAACTCATACTACATCAAAATGAAAATATTCTGTTCATCAAAAGACCCTGTTAAATAAATAAATATACATGCCACAGACTAGTCTGGAAATATCCCTCAAAACATATATATGATGATATACTAGTATCTAGTACAAACAAAATACTCCTACAGCTCAGTAATAAAAATGAAATGCAATAAAAATGCAATAAAAAATCAAAAGATATGAACAGCCACTTCCTAAGGATAACAAATGGTCAGTAAACTCATCAAAAAGTGTTCAATGTCATGAGTTATCAGGGAAATGCAAATTAAAATTGCCATGCATTACCAGTACAACCCATGGGCATGGCTAAATTAGAAAAACCAAGATGACCGAATGTTACTGAACATGTGGAACTGGAACTGCCACAGGTTGTTAGTGAGTATATGAGATGTCACAACCACTTTGGGAAAAGATCTGTCAGTTTTTTTACAAATATGAACATTTACCTACCTATCCTATAACCCACCAATTTCACTTTTAGGTATTTACCTAAGAGAAATAAATATAGCTAGCCACACACACACACACACACACACACACACACACAAACACAAAAAAATCTTATACAAGGATATTTATAGCAGCTTTTTTTCATGATAATCTAAATATGGAAACAGTCCAGATGTCTATAAACAAGAGAATGAAAAAACAATGGCATATTCATACAGTGGAATACTATCCAACAATTACAAAAACAAAGGATGAGGATCAAAAGGTCATACTGAGAGAAAGAAGCCTTACTCAAAAGAGTTTATACTGCATGATTCAATGTATGTGAAGTTCTAGAAGAGGCGAACCTAATCTATGGTGGGGAAAAATCAGAACAGACATTGGAGGGTGGAGGTGAAACTGGTGATTGACTGGGAAGGAACAGAAGAAAACTTGCATGAGCCGGGCATAGTGGCCCACACTTGTCATCCCAAGGACTTAGGAGGCCTA